GAAACCACAACTACCACCACTGCTAGTGACCCTGTGCTGTGAATCCATCCATCCATCCATTTTCTTCCCCTTAATCCATTTCTGGGGGGGGGGGGTGGCAGTCAGAGCTACACCTAGTACACACAGCACTAGCCCCTCACTGATCCTCCTGCAGGTGGTGAGTCCACAGGAGCCTTGATCTTTCAAGGGGGCATCAGGCAAAGTGGGTTTAAGTGTCTTGCCCAAGGACACAACGACAGAAGACATCAGACATCCAGAGATTGTGTCAATTAAATTACATTTAATTCAGAATAGCCCTAAATCACAACAGCAGTCGCAGTCGTTTGAACGCAGTTTGAATGGTAATACAAGTACACAAACGCCCTTAAATGTCTCAGATGGCTTTGACACGGATCTGTTTTTAAAGGTAGTGACCTGACTTGTGGTGGACCAGGGTGCACTGAATGAAGTGTGAATGCTCCATGATTAGTCCCACGACCACTGAGGACTGTTCTACTTTAACAGAAATGACCAGGCTCCTGTGCAGCGTTTAGATGAGGCGAGAAAACAATGTAGTTCTAGCACCAGGCCAGTAGTGCGCAGAGGAGCTTTACCCCAGCAGTTAACCACTTCCTCAACAACGTCCTCCTCAGGCCGCTGCTAAGAACCAACATCATTCTGCATTTAACAGCAGAAATGAAAATTGAAACTGAAACTATAGAGCTTTGTGTGGTTTCGTTTGGATGACGGAGTAGAATTCTCCTCCGTGTAGCGCTCGAAGCACACATAGCATTAGTCGACCCGCCACCATTGTTGTTTACGTTTGTTCTCGGCTACTGCTCATGTCCAAATGTACGTGGGGGAAGTGGTGAGGTCATAGCAGCAGAGAATTCACACCGTTGAGCAGCGTATCTGAGCTGTCCCACTCTGGAGGCTGGTTCTTAACGCTTACATTTTAAACTGAAACAAAGTCACCCATGTAAACGGGAGGCCAAACCGATACCAACTCTAACAGCATCTCCGTCTAAACGAGACCTGAGACAATAGCAGTGTTTTCACCGTGTCCTTAAGAGCCGCATACTTGATGTGATGCTGATGAGATGCTGATGTGTCCTGAGCGACCGGTGCTGTCTCTGCATCTTAGCCTTCGTTAATATTTCAGACATCTCTGCTCCTCGTCTCCTCTCTTTAACCTCAGTGCTGCCTATGATCCAGTATTATGTTTGAAATCAGGAGATGTCTGGAATTAGCTTGTCGGTCTAGTGCCCACTGTGTGATTATATTCAAGTGGCAAGAGCTTTGAGCCAAAGCAATTTCCAAGTCTGTGACTTCCTGTTACTACGTGGAAAAAAAATATATTCTGATTTTGAGTCTCTTATGTGATGGGGGGATCGCCCACTGTATAAGGCAAGAGGCTAGATTTTTTTATTCTGGTTCCATTCATTCATTTTCTTCCGTCAGAGCTGCACCCAGTCCACACAGCACCAGCCCCTCACCGATCATCTTGGATTGTTTTTAACTACATTTTTTGTATGAAAAAGCGCTTCATAAATATAATTTGACTGATTGATTGATCCTCCTGCACGTAGGGGAGTCCACAGGAGCCTTAAGCGCACCACACACTCTACGACCAAAGTGGTTAGACCCTTGATTTTTCATCTCCGTGTGTGGCGTCTCTCAGGTTAGGATTATCGGCAGACAATTTTAAAATTGTCTCGTGTGAACCAGGCATTAATCTTTCAGCAGTGGCTTCAGGCAGAGTGTGGTTAAGTGTCTTGCCCAAGGACACAATGACAGCAGACATGAGTGGGAGTTGTGAAGTAGGTCTTGCGGTGGGCTTGAACACACAACCTTCCTGCCCAAAGGACAATGCTCTACCAACTGAGCCACTGTCAACCCATTTTATTTATTTATTTTTTTATATTCTGGTTCCATCAACAAATATCACGTTGTGGGCATTTTGTTCATTAATTTTTTCACTGGTTTTATTTTGCTATAAATTGGATTTCCTGTAGTACGACTTTTGCTTCCTGTTTATTTGTTTGCCGTGTCCTGATCTGTCTTCTCATCGTCGGTTGGTTTTCCCCTCATTTCTTGACCCTTGTTTTCTGTTTTTACTTGTGAATTAAATTTTCTCATGGCATTTATTACATGCGTTCATATCCTTAATGCAAATATGTATAAGACCATGTGATCCAAGATCCAATGCATGTAATGGCCAAAGAAATTACTACTTCTACTAATAAATGATGTTATTTTGCTTTTGCTGTTCGGCTTTTAGGTCTGTCCCTGTTTTACCTCATGACAACAAATCTATCAAAGACCTATCACCGAGCTCCTATCTCCTTTATGATAATGAAACCGCAAACCTTTGAGCTGTAGTTTGAGCAGATTTCTTCACAGAGTTGACCTTTGTACTTCACAGAACGAGGCCAAATGCAGGACGAGGCCAAATGCAGAATGAGACGATATTCATTGATTTATTTCAAACCTGCACAATAAACTTACACTTTTAATATGAATCCTAAGTAGGACCCACACAATGTGAGAGTCCTGTGGTCCCCCAGCAGGGCTCTTCAACCTTTTTTCTCGAGATTAAAAAGGCAGAGAGCCACTCCTTAAAACAGTTGTGGGAAAAATCACTTGATGTTTTTGAGAACGCGAGCATGAGAATGGGTACTGTCCTGAATTTTTCCTACAGGGATCAATAAAATATCTATCTATCTATCTGCCCAACTATCTATCTATCTACCTATCTACCCACCTATCTCTCTATCTATCTATCTATATACAGCTGTAGTTATCTGCAGTTCATCCAGAGTGATCATGGGCCTCTTGGCTGCATCTCTGATCAGTCTTCTCCTTGTTGGAGATGAAAGTTTGGAGGGACGGCCGGGTCTTGGTAGATTTGCAGTGGTCTGATACTCCTTTCATTTCAATATAACTGCTTGCACAGTGCTGCTTGAGATGTTTAAAGCTTGGGAAATCTTTTTGTATCCAAATCCGGCTTTAAACTTCTCCACAACAGTATCTCGGACCTGCCTGGTGTGTTCCTTTGTCTTCATGGTTCTCTCTGCGCTTTAAACAGAACCCTGAGACTATCAAAGAGCAGGTGCATTTATACGGAGACTTGATCACACATAGGTGCATTCTATTTATCATCATCAGTCATTTAGGACAACATTGGATCATTCAAAGATCCTCACTGAACTTCTGGAGTGAGTTTGCTGCACTGAAAGTAAAGGGGCCGAATAATATTGCACGCCCCACTTTTCAGTTTTTTATTTGTTAAAAAAGTTTAAATTATCCAATGAATTTTGTTCCACTTCACGATTGTGTCCCACTTGTTGTTGATTCATGACAAAAAATTAAAATGTTATATCTTTATGTTTGAAGCCTGAAATGTGGCAAAATGTTGAAAGGTTCAAGGGGGCCGAATACTTTCGCAAGGCACTGTATATATCTATCTATCACCAGTTGTTTATCAAGTCACTAGTGCACGCACTAAGTTTACATTTATAATAATTGATCATTACATTCTGAAATATTCAGTACATTATGGATTTGGTTTTTTCTAAATCCTTTAGGGAGCTACCAGGGGAGGGTGTAGATCACTTGATGTTTTTGAGAACGCGAGCATGAGAATGGGTACTGTCCTGAATTTTTCCTACAGGGATCAATAAAATATCTATCTATCTATCTGCCCAACTATCTATCTATCTACCTATCTACCCACCTATCTCTCTATCTATCTATCTATATACAGCTGTAGTTATCTGCAGTTCATCCAGAGTGATCATGGGCCTCTTGGCTGCATCTCTGATCAGTCTTCTCCTTGTTGGAGATGAAAGTTTGGAGGGACGGCCGGGTCTTGGTAGATTTGCAGTGGTCTGATACTCCTTTCATTTCAATATAACTGCTTGCACAGTGCTGCTTGAGATGTTTAAAGCTTGGGAAATCTTTTTGTATCCAAATCCGGCTTTAAACTTCTCCACAACAGTATCTCGGACCTGCCTGGTGTGTTCCTTTGTCTTCATGGTTCTCTCTGCGCTTTAAACAGAACCCTGAGACTATCAAAGAGCAGGTGCATTTATACGGAGACTTGATCACACATAGGTGCATTCTATTTATCATCATCAGTCATTTAGGACAACATTGGATCATTCAAAGATCCTCACTGAACTTCTGGAGTGAGTTTGCTGCACTGAAAGTAAAGGGGCCGAATAATATTGCACGCCCCACTTTTCAGTTTTTTATTTGTTAAAAAAGTTTAAATTATCCAATGAATTTTGTTCCACTTCACGATTGTGTCCCACTTGTTGTTGATTCATGACAAAAAATTAAAATGTTATATCTTTATGTTTGAAGCCTGAAATGTGGCAAAATGTTGAAAGGTTCAAGGGGGCCGAATACTTTCGCAAGGCACTGTATATATCTATCTATCACCAGTTGTTTATCAAGTCACTAGTGCACGCACTAAGTTTACATTTATAATAATTGATCATTACATTCTGAAATATTCAGTACATTATGGATTTGGTTTTTTCTAAATCCTTTAGGGAGCTACCAGGGGAGGGTGTAGAGAGCTACTGGTGACTCCTGAGCTATAGGTTGGAACCCCGAGCTCAACATTGAAAATCAGTTCAAGGGCCACTAAAACTGTAAATGTAAATATGCACTTTATTGTCCCTGTACGGAAATGTGTCTTCTGCATTTGACCCGCCTGATGCCACTGAGTCTTCCCGTCAGGAGCAGTGTTCGCCGTAGTACAACTGGAGCTGGAGGATTGACCTATTGTACATGTTTTTAGTGGTGGGAGAAACCGGAGCACCTGCAAGAAACCTACGCTGACCCAGGAGAACATGCAAACTCCACACAGAGAGACCCTGTCCCGGCCAGGATTCAAACCCAGGACCTTCTTGCTGAGAAAAGGGAGTGGTTATGGGCAGTAGAGTCTGTGCCTCAGACAGAAGCTTGTTATGTGTCTTTCATTATTAATAAGGTAAATGTAGGTTGACATTTGGACTCATGGAATCTGCTGAGTGTTTCTGCTCCAAAAAGCACGTTGTCTCTGGAGGATCCACCACCGGGACTCGCTCCAACCTCTGCTCCGTCCTCACACTCAAATACACAGAATCTAGTCAAAGTAAAATGTCAAAGAAAACCAATCAAAAAACCACATTTGGTCGACATATTATATTATATTATATTATATTAAAAAGACAGAACAAGCTTTAGATTAGCACACAACGAGGTGTGTGTGTGTGTGTGTGTGCATGTGTGTGTGAGAGACATGAGATCCTGCATCCAAGGCACTTTCTATACAGTGACCTGACATTCCACAAACATGTCTCTTCCATTTGTCTTTAATATTTTTCCTCAAAAAAAAAAAAAAATTTCTTTTGATGATTTGAGAACATTTGATTTCTTTCTAAAGTTTATCGTGTCTGTTTCATTTGTGGACGGCTCCTAAAGGGTTAACGTCTCCGGACCCAGAGCCACATGTGAGCCTGAGGTGTCACTCTTTCCACACACATCCCATAATAGTCAGTGATCCAGGTAACAGATGCTCCCATGATTTAAGGAATAATAATCCACGGCTGGAAAGCAGTGGAATCTGCAGCGGCAGCAGCACCAGTGGCACCAGTGGCACCAGTAGCACCAGTAGCACCAGTAGCACACTTAGCACCAGTAGCACCAGCAGTACCAGTAGCACCAGTAGCACCCTTAGCACCAGTAGCACCCTTAGCACCAGTAGCACCAGCACCAACAGTAGCATCGGCAGCACTAAGAGAACCCATAGCACCAACACCACCAGTAGCTCTAGAGGCAATAGTAGCACCACTAGTAGCATCAGTAGCACTAGATGCTGTCAACGCTGTGGGGAGTATGTATATATATTGGGACCAGTCTAGTTTAGCCGCTGTGGACTTGTGAACGCACTCGTTAAATGAATGGGGCTCTTGCAGCTAACACATGCACAAATGCGTTTTTTTTCACATTTTCCCGCGGGAGCTGCCAGTCACAGCCATCTTTAAAAAGACGTTAGGAGGAAAAAGTGATGACACATAAGTTTCAAGAGCGGAGATAAGCGTTTTTGTTTACAGTCTGTGCACCAACACCAGCCTCACCTGCATGGGCCCTTTATGACGTGAATGAATGATGTGAAGTGTGTTTGGGTGTCATGGAAAGCCCTATATAAATATGCATTATTGAAAAGAAAGAACGGAGAGGGGGAGGGGGCTAGTGTGGAAAATTGACCTCATAGAGACTGGATCTTTGCACACCAGAGGCTGGAAGTTTATTCAGTTTCCTTCAGGTTTCACTGGAACTTCCAGGTAAGACCTGGAACTACTCTACATCCTCAGGAATAAAACTGTTAATACAATAAGGCCACAATGGTGTTTGATTCTCAAATCGGTGCTGGGGAATCGACAGCTTTTCAAAGTCCAGCCCCAAGAAGAACATGCATGGAAAAATTCGATTTAAACACGAAACAGAGAAAGTGACGGAGCGACAAGCATCAGGGACGCAGCTCTCCCAGTCTGCTGGACTGTGCCTGCTCCCAGAGAGCACGTGGCTCCCTCACGCTGAAAAAAGAAACAAAAGAAACACCTTCAAAACAATCAGAGCAATGGTACGAGCCTCGCATCCTTCATCCAAATGTGTGGAAAATCAACCACAGAGAGACGGGATCGTTGTGCACCAGAGCTTTCCTGGAAGTTTATTCACTTTCCTCCAGGTTTCAGTTTTTTCCGACAGAACAAAGTCAAGACATGATTTATATAGTCATTGTTACGTCACACACAGACAGACAAACGTGTCGCATCAAGAGACAATCTGAACATATTAGAGTCATCACTTGGATACACAATGGGACCTTGTGACTGTGAGGGCCAGATATTTTCTCTTGCGTTTGTCCACCTGCGTAGGCCATAGATATCTATCCACCGCATTAGGTCACAGCCCCATGTCTCCAAGATGTCTGCCATTCAGATCTGGGCACACTGGCCTGTGCTCATTGACTCACGCTCGCACCATGGACGTACCAGAATTAGCAGAAGTGATACATTGTGGCCATGTCTGATTCTCCTGGTTGTGTGGAGTAGGTGTGCTGTTGTTCTAGTGCTTGAAAAAAACAGTTCAGGATGAGAAGAAACACTAAAGTTCTGACAGTACCCAACCTTAGTAAAAGCTGCAACCTTCCTTTAAGGGAGCCGTTTTAGTAAACATTGAAGTGAAGTTTATGGAGAAAATCTCCTTACAGCGTGTGTGGATTTAAGCTGCAGTACCGCCGGTGCCCTCTAGTCTATGTGGAGACAGGTTTATGCAGCAACACCCTATCCACATAATGTAACACATCTATGGTCACACAATAGTATAAATATAGTACCACCTGAGGCGTGTACGTGTGTGTGTACACAGACTAAAGTGTCAGCTTGTCTAATCAGATGCCAAGGAGGACGTCCCACAAAGAGGTGTGTGTGTGTGTGTGTTTGTGTGTGTGTGTGTGTGTGTGTGTGTGGGGGGTGTGTGTGTGTGTGTGTGTGTGTGTGTGTGTGTGTGTGTGTGTGTGTGTGTGTGTGTGGGTGTGTTTGTGTGTGTGTGTGTGTGTGCGTGGCTGCATGTGTGAGACAGAGGGATGCACAGGCAGACACTTCACACGCAGAAAGGGGGAGGGGTGTTGGAGCAACAAATCAACACAATTGGGCCTCACTCGCTGCAGGTCGATGCCAGTGCTGCCCATATGGTACAGCACCATCACCAGGGTGCATTATATGCTGAATGTATAAAAACAACACTCTTCTGAGATGTATGACAGTGTCACAGCTGCAGCAGAATTGAACTGATTTTTTAATAGGATTCCAAAAATATATTTTAGAAATACAATTTAATTGATTTTGATTGAACATTTCTGACCAAATGTGGTTTTGAAAGTGAGAAGTCAGCGCTCTCCTCTGACTGTGAAGCTTCCAGACTTTTCGGACTGTGGTGCAGAGGTGTCCGAGAGTCGATACACAGCTTTGAGAGCAGCATCAGCAGCATCTGCACCATCAGCACCATCAGCACCATCTGCACCACACACACACTCAATGATGATGATAGAACTCAGGATTGTTTTGTTTCATTTATTTGTATACTGGTGTGGATGTGTTTACAATATTTTTTGTTTGGGCAGAATAGTTTGTGCAATGTTTTTGTTTTGATTTATATCCAAATGTAAGAGAACAAATATTATTGTGTATTCAATAAGTATAAAGTGAATAATATGTCAAATAAAGATCAACTCGGGATCTTCCTTCACCTCCGAGTCTGAGAGGCTTGGGCCTTGTTGTTTGGATGGGTTTCCTCCGGGCGCTCCAGTTTCCACAAAAACGTAAACCATAGGAAAACCCTCCAGCTATGGGCCTGACCAACATCCAGAGATGGCTCCCTGCTGCTGCTCTACAGTGGCCTTCCAGGATGGGTCAAATGCAGTGGACACATTTGTACAATACCTATATTACAATTTGTTCATAATAGTAAGTAAGTAAGTAAGTAAGTTTTTATTTATATACCGCCTTTTCACTGCAGATCTGAGTCTCAAAGCGGTTTACAATTGTTAATTTTGGGCATTTGTCTCTCACTCCACACAGAGATGGGAGCGGGGTCGCCAGTACAGGAGGCACATGCCTGAACTATTGGACATATTTTTAGTGGTACGGGAAACCGGAGTACCCGGAGGAAACCTACGCAGACACGGGGAGAACATGCAAACTCCACTCAGAAAGGCCCTGGTCCGACCGGGATTCGAACCTAGGACCTTCTTGCTGAGAGGCCAGAGTGCTATCCACTCAGCCACCGTGCCGCCCAATAATAATAATGATTCATAATAATAATAATGCATCGGTTTTATCACTTTTTTGGGACTCTCACACAAGAAGCTTAAAATTGCAGAATCTATGTAGCCACAGCTGCCCTGGGGCACACTAAAAAGAAGCGAGGCCCCTCCGACCACCGTCAACCATTCACACACAGCTGTTTTGTTACTACAGCACCCAGTTTTCCCAGAGGTCTCCCATCACAGTACTAATGAGGCTTTTCCCTACTTAGTTTCAAAGCTTCATATCTTTAAGCAGCATTAGTCCTGGATCTATAGCCTACTCGAGGTTTCTCACCTTTTCCCCACTGGGTTCCTGAGTGGTTCTGTCTCAGAGCAGGTCTAAAGACAATGATGGCTCCTATAGTGTTCATGATTTCTACTTTTTCTGTTTTACAACTGTTTGATTCTCTGATCTGTGGTTAGTGAATCGACAGCTGTGTGAAGTCCTCCCAGACAACCGCTGTTTTGATTCAGGACTATAGAAAAATACATGGAATTAAATTGAATCGTATGTGTCGCATCGTCTTCAACACATTACGTCTTGGTTGAAGCAAGAACTTTCTGTCTTTCGAATATTCAGAAATGTCTCTAAACTATTGACGTTTTGTAAATACAGTCAATCACATCCGTATTGTGTTTAGTCCTACTCACAAACAGCCACATCTGGAACAATAACCCAACTCAAAGCTCTCTCCCCGCGGCTGAAAACGAGTGTGTGTGTGTGTGTGTCTCTGGAGATCGCAGCTCCAGGGGCCGGCCGCGATATATCGACCCAGAGAGAGAGAGAGGTGTGCGGGGGGCTGTGGAGAGGAAAGAGCTGCCCAAACATTCTCACATCTTTAAAAGAGACAAAGAGAGGAAGCAGAGCCAAGGCCACAGCTGCAAGAGACAAAGGAACGCCGCGTTACCGCATGTGCTCCGGCGTTATCGTGGACTCAGTCATAACAAGCGTCGTCCACACCGAGACAAACCCCAAACACACTGAGTGACACCGGCATCGGCAGCTATCCCGTCTTGCGACCGAAACCTTGTGCTGAGACTTCCACCAAATAAAGGTGTAATTTAGACAGAAATAAAAGTGTTTTCTAATGTGTAGGTCCAATTTAACAACATACAGACAGACAAGACAACAAAATAACAAACAAACAGTCATAGGAGCCATTGGTCCACTTGGAGAGGGATGACCACTGTCCATAAATGTTGATAAATGTCCTTTAATATAATTGAAAGCACGCAGTTGGAAGAATGTCATCAGACTGTGGACATGAAGAAATACTTTTCAAAGGCAGATTTATGTCGGAAGTTTCCCTATTAGCCTAAAAGGAGCAAGACATATCCAGCTCTATTAAATGTAAGAAAGTGAATTTTGTCTTATATTTAAGGTTTCCTGCGACCCGGCAACGGATGAAGCGGAAGCAATGGATTTTTAAGGGTCTGAAGATTTTACAGTATGATATTAATTTTAAAAAGTTAGCTTAATTAACACGTTTCGACCGTGGACTTCAGCTGTTGTTGCCGGATGTGATCAGTCTGACAGATCTCACAGATCCGTCAAACCGGCCACGTCCCTCGCCGTGTTGTGGTCTCTGGAGAAGTGAATCCCAGGTGTGAGCCAAGGTGAAAGCCCCCTCGTCTCTGTTGATGGTCCGTTTGCTCCGCTTCCTGATTTATGAGAGGCGATTTGGGGTGACGCGGCCAGTCTGTGAGATGTGTCAGACTGACCACATCCGGCAACAACAGCTGATAAGAGAAGAAGATATACTTTATTGATCTTGCGTCACACCATCGCGCGTCCCCTCTGACGAAGGCGGGAGTCTGCCTCATTACTTATGCGTGTCACGAAGTGGTGGTCAGCCGAGCAAGTTGTTTACTCGAGCAGCGTGTTTGAAATGCCTTTTGCGTGTGTCGTTTTAGGTGGTTCATTAACAGGAAGTTGTCACGTGACTGCGAGCCAAGAATTAAAAGAACCACATCCAGCTCTGGATAATTGCATGTTAAAATAATGTATTTGCCATCGGCCTCTCTGATGTGGAGACACTGGTATGGCTGTATTTCAAAGTCATAAGTAATGTTTTTGTCTTGTCTGTCTGTTTTTAAATTGAACCTAGAGTCTGTATTGAATATAATTGATTATAATACGTCATAATACAGTATTTGTGCTAAATGCAGTGTGCAGTGTGGGTCTATAGGGAGACCACCGGGCCATTGGGAGAGTCTGTGCACGGGCCTCAGGCTGTTGGCAGACCTCCTGGGAGAGTCTATGTTGGAGACGGGGGTAAAGAGCGGGAGGCCAGGGCACAGCCGGAGAACATGTGGGAGTCCGGGAATCATCTAAAACAAGCGAGAAAGGAAGCGTATAGACAAAGAGCAGAAGCTGAGCAAGCGACACAATAGGGCAATAGTTTAGAGTCAAAGTTATTGTTCTAATACAGAAATAACTCCATGTTCCATTGAGTTACAGAAAATAAATTGTCCTGGCAACTTCTTTTTTCCGTTGTAGCCCTTTGAGTCGCCTTGTGTGTGAATTGTGCTCTACAAATAAGCTTGCCCCGCCCTTGGAGATACAGTATTGTAGTTTCACTGTAACTTTATTAAAACATAGATTGGCAATTTAGTTCCATCTCTTCCTGTTTAAATAAAGATAAACAAGAGCATCACGTGACCAGAATCAATAGTAGTGATCTGAGTAGAACAAAGTATTACTGGAACCCCCAAAGCCGTCGTTTTGACTGCTCCCATTCAGACCAATTATTATCATAACTGAAACTGAAATACAGTAACAACAAAAAATGCTATTGCTAACTTCTCCAAGTAAACAGTGTGTTGCCGTGGTAACTAGCACTTGATATTCTCTGCTGGAAAATGAGTTCAAGGTAGAGCCAGCCACATTTCAAAAGTAAAAGATGATTTCATGATACAAAAGAATGACATAGAAAAAAAAAGTCCAAATCCATTGTTTCTAAAAAAAAAAAAAGCAAAAACTTCAAAGTCCTTGTAAATTCCAGAATGCTGTTTTTTGTGTTTTGGTAGTGCACCGTGGGGAGAGCAGGAAGGATGGGGCTGCAGCATCCTCTCCCAGGGGGCGGGGCTATGGGCGAGAGGGGGCGGGGCCTGTCTGCAGACCCACACACACACACACACAAACACACACACACACACACAGTCGCACAGCAGCAGCTACAGCCGCCCAGTGCAGGAGTCCTGAGTCTGGGACAGCAACAGCACAGAGAGACACAGGACCAGAGACATACAGGAGCAAGACAGGATACAGACGGGACCAGGGGACATCCAGGAGACAGAGGGACACTTACGGGGCAGGAGCAGAGGAGGACATCCACGGGACAGCAGGGACAGCAGGAGCATCAGTCTGGCTCTGCTCTGACGGTAAGGACCACAGCCTGAGCTCTAGGGCAGTGCACGATTAACCACAATTGAATCAAAATGACCATTACTGTGGTAGATATTGGCAAATCACAAAGATCGTGGTTCTTTATTTTTTATTATTTTTAATGCATGCCCTTACTTTACAACCTGAGCCCAAGCAAATTCCTTGTTAGTGACTTCCTGTTACTTAATAAATCATTGTTTTTGGTTCTGATTCTGATTCTTGGCTACTGAAAATAAGCATAAAAAACACTTGAATTTTTTTCTTAATTTGGGTTAATTTTGTAGATTTGTCTGTGGAACATGTATCTTTGGTCTTGTTGTCGGGCAGAAACTTTATTGTGTTTTGTATCAAATTAGATTCTTTGTAAAAGTATTCACAAACTACACAACTCACGTCTGACTAATGCAGAGGGAGAAGATGAAAGTTTGTATATTTGTCACTATAGAACTGTAGGAACGTCTTATGAAATGTTTGAGAATCGTGTAATTGTTTTATGATTTGTATCCTGAAATTGTTGCAGCTTTTCTGTGTCATGGCATTGATTATTTATTAAAACACCTTTTATTCTTGAATCTTGAAAACTCTTTAAATCACTGAGTAGTCATTGTGAGTATTATCAACCAACAGGTGCTGGCCCTGGACTGGTTCTGGTTCTGCTTCTGAGCTGAGTATTCCGAGTCCCTCCAGAGGCAGTGGTAGTTACCATAGCGACACACTGTTTACTTGCTGTATTTCAAGTGATATGTTTTTAGCACTTCTTAAAAGTTAGTAAAGTAATAAAACGTGTACAAAAGGTAAAAAATAGATAAATCCGCGTTAGACCTTTGTCCAATAATGAGCTGACTGCAAAGAATGACCATATGTTGATGTGAGTTCTGTGAGAGGGGCTCGGAGTGCAGCCACTGCTCCCCCAACGCTGAGACGAGAGGAAGTGTGGGTTGAAATGAAAATCTGGGTCCACACATGAGAACGTGAATGGAGGATGAGTGGACATAGAAGGATGCATAGAAATAAAGAGATGACCAGAGAGAGAGAGAGAGAGCAGGGAGAGACCAGAAAGACCAGAGCCAGACCAGAAAGACCAGAGAGAGACAGAGAGATCAGAGAGACCAGAAAGACCAGAGGGAGACAGAGAAAGAAAGACCAGGGAGACAGAAATCAAAGAGTAACCAGAAAGTGACTCGAAACACCAGAGAGAGAGCCCATAGAGAGACCAGGACGAGACCATGGAGAGACTAGAAACACCAAAGAGAGGGGACCAGGAAGAGACCTGAGGGAGACTAGAAACACCAGCGAGAGAGACCAGGAAGAGACCAGAGAGAGACTAGAAACACCAGAGAGAGAGAGACCAGGAAGAGACCAGAGTGAGACTAGAAACACCAGAGAGAGAGACCAGAAACACCAGAGAGAGAGACCAGGAAGTAAGTAAGTAAGTAGTAGTAAGTAATCTTTATTTATATACCACCTTTTCACTGCACATCGGAGTCTCAAAGCGGTTTACAATTGTTATTTTTGGGAGCGGGGTCGCCGGTACAGGAGGCACATGCCAGACCTATTGTACATATTTTTAGTGGTAGGGGAAACCGGAGCACCCGGAGGAAACCTACGCAGACACGGGGAGAACATGCAAACTCCACTCAGAAAGGCCCTGGTCCAACCGGGATTCGAACCCAGGACCTTCTTGCTGAGAGGCGAGAGTGCTATCCACTCAGCCACCGTGCCGCCTGGAAGAGACCAGAGGGAGACTAGAAACACCAGAGAGAGAGAGAGACCAGGAAGAGACCAGAGGGAGACTAGAAACACCAGAGAGAGAGACCAGAGGGAGACTAGAAACACCAGAGAGAGAGAGAGACCAGGAAGAGACCAGAGGGAGACTAGAAACACCAGAGAGAGAGACCAGGAAGAGAACAGAGGGAGACTAGAAACACCAGAGAGAGAGAGAGACCAGGAAGAGACCAGAGGGAGACTAGAAACACCAGAGAGAGAGACCAGGAAGAGACCAGAGGGAGACTAGAAACACCAGAGAGAGAGAGAGACCAGGAAGAGACCAGAGGGAGACTAGAAACACCAGAGAGAGAGAGAGACCAGGAAGAGACCAGAGGGAGACTAGAAACACCAGAGAGAGAGAGAGACCAGGAAGAGACCAGAGGGAGACTAGAAACACCAGAGAGAGAGACCACTCCCCCCTCTCTCTCCTCCTGAATCAAACCATGTGCTGCTGTCTTTTTGTCACTTCCTTCACGTGTTTGAGACTGTGCTGCTGTTGATCGGTAAAAATGTTTCCTCAGGGTTTGTTTTTGGAGATCTTGGAGTTGTTTGATCCTCTAAATCAGGGGTGTCGGACTCATTATGGTCAGGGGCTGAGCTGTTGTTGTGTCCTTGGCAAGACACTTACCTCTGGGAACACCAGGTGCCACAGTGGGGCGGCTGCGATGGCTGCTGGCCGATGGAACATACTGGTTGCCTTGTTTCTGTCAGTGTGCCCCAGGGCAGCTGTGGCTACAGTAGTAGTTTATCACCACCGTGAATGGAGTGAAATTATAATGACATGTGAAGCGTCTTTGAGTGTCCAAAAACGTCTGTATAAAACCAATGCATTATTATTATTTTAACTCCGTTAGCTGTAAAGGAGGTGGCTAAAGCAAAATGCTAACGACTCACTCGGGCGCAGTACATGCGTCACTGCAAACCTCAGATCGAATCGTTTCAATAAGTTAACCCCTCCCACCTGTTAACAGAGCTCAAATCCAGCAAACCCAAACCTTAGTACGAAATGAAATGTGTACGATGGTATGGTAAGACCAGGCTAGTCCATAAGGGGCAGAGGGGGTCGTATTTTCCATGACTTTTGGAGTTTGGAACAAGGCTTTTCCTTTAGCTCTGGTAGCCGCGTCGCCATGGTTACGGGCTGAAACGTCCCGGATGCCCTGGAGCCGGCAGCAGACTTTTTTGTGCAGTGAGTTTCAGGCTCTTGAGTGTCTCATTGTGCTGGATGTGTCGGAGCAGAGCTGGCCTCAGGGACTCTCATGTGGATCAGTCTCAGAGACAAACTCACTCTGAGCTGTTGTGTGTGCGGAAGGGGCGGCCTCACATATGCCTGTAGTAATTATAAAAAACATTTACAGACGTGAAATTTGCAGTAAAACCTCATTGGAATACATGTGCAAAAGTCCCCAGTGGGCACCAAACAAGTAGATACTACATCAAACAAGCTAAAATAAAAGTACAGGAATAAAAAAAAGGCTAAAAAGGTACTGGAAATAAAGAAGCTAAAAAAGTACATACATAAAACAAGCTAAAAGTGCAGGAACAAAAGCAATCTGCTAACAAAACATATAACAGAAAGATTACCGCTAACTTCACGTCCGAATGTGGTCTGAGCATAGATAGTCCGAGCATAGATAGTCCGAGGCGGTCCCGCAGGTCTCTCCCATAGACAAGTCTCTCCAGAGGATACGATGTAAGCTAGCTCTGTTCACCCGGGCTTGATTTCTTCTTTGATCATTTTTTTGCTTTAGTTCCCTCTTCTCTTCCTCACTGTTGTGTCGTTTGGGCTGTTTTTCTGTGTCTGCAGTTACAGCCAGAGGAGTTATAGCCACTTATGCTAATATGCTACTGTGCGAGCTTCACACTAAAGTCTCTACTCAGCACTTTTTACGGCCTGAATTCATACACAAGTTGAATCAATGAGCTCAAGTCTTTAATTAAATTATGGATTATAATACAACTTGTGTGTAGTAATAAGCATTTTTATGATCTCATTAGAAAATAAATTGGGTATAGCATCTTTAGCAGTTTGATAAAAATGTTTTGACTGGATACAGGTTGTTTTGAGCTCTAAAGGAGGTATGATATGTCTACAATGATACACAATACACACAGATGAAGTTGGCTCAATGTAAAATAAAATCATTTTTAGACACATGAGAATCAGAAATGCATTTTTGTGCCATGATTACAAATAAGTGTTGATAAATATCCATAAATGTGGAATGTCCTCGATCATCCCACTGTAATTCCCATCAACCCAAGTGGATGCCAGTGGCCTCCCGTAATCCTTGGATCTCTCCCAATCTATGAAATCTCGGTCCAGAAAAAAGCAGGGCCCGGAACAGCGAAGACTCCGGTAGAGACCCGAGCTCAGAGAGAGAGAAAGAGAGAGAGAGAAAGAGAGAGAGAGAAAGAGAGAGAGAGAGAGAGATAACTCATCTATCTCCATCCAGAATTTTTCCACAGTGTTGCTTCCCTGTCCTCACTTCCTGTGGCTGAGTGCAGGCATTAGACGGAGCCTTGTATTGATTTTTAAAGAATCCCAACTACTTCCTGAACGGCGCTGGTGTCGGCAGAGCTGCCCTCACTCCCCGCCTCCTCACACTGGCACTGCTCATGCATAGGGCTACATTCTCTCTTCTTAGTTTCAGTTTTGATTTTATTATTTCAAATCACGGTCGAAGCTAAGTCTTTCTGAGTGGAGTTTGTATTTTCTCCCTGTGTCTGCCTAGGTTTTCTCCAGGTGCTGTGGAGTGAGAGACCAATACCCATATTTGTAAAGTGCTTTGTGACTCTGGTCCGTGAATGGCGCTGTATAAATAAATATGGCTTACTTACTATTTGCCAGATGTACGTATCGTGTTGATCTCACAGCACAAGGACTTAAGTCTGGAAAAAACAACCTAGAAAACTTCCCAGAGCAGACATTTCAGTAAGGCCCTCTGAAGCTAAGCAGAGCACCGCCTGGTTAGTGCGGTGATGGGAGACCTCTGGAAGCAGCAGGTGCCACAGTGGGGCAGCTGCGGCTGTAAAGTGGCAAACTGTTCTTGTGTCCTTAGGCAAGACCAGGAAGTACGACCATATTAGTCCGGTCCTCAGGTCTCTGCACTGGCTTCCTGTGGCTCAGAGAATAGACTTTAAAACAGCTCTGCTTGTGTACAAGTCTCTCCATGGCCTCGCACCAAAATATATTAGTGACATGTTAGTCCCATATGAACCAGCCCGGACTCTGAGGAGCACAGGGACTGGACTCCTGTTAGTGCCCAGAGTCAGAACTAAACATGGGGAGGCTGCTTTTCAGATTCATGCTGCTAAAATCTTCCTGAAGATATGAGACAGGCCTCTTCTCTGACAATGTTTAAAAATGTTAAAAACAGTTCTGTTTAGCTGTGCAATTTTATATTTTTATCTTTCTTTTTGATGTTCTGTGATTATTTATGCTTTTATTATGATTTTGTTCTGTTCAGCACTTTGCCTTGTGTATGAATTGTGCGATACAAATAAACTTGCCTTGCCTTGGTCTCCTCAGGTCTCAGGTTTCTGGTCTCTCTGGTCTCTAGTCACTGGTCTCAACTCTCAAGTCTCAGGTCCCTAGTACCAGGTTCCAGGTCTCATCGGGTCTCTGGTCTCATCGGGTTTTGAGTCTCTGGTCTCTGGTCTCAGGTCTATGTTTCCGGTCTTTATTCTCTTGTCTATGTCTCTGGTCTCTGGTCTCTGGTCTCTGGGCTCTGGTCTCTGGTCTCATCGGGTCTCTGGTCACAGGTCACAGGTCTCAGGTCTCAGGTCTCAGGTCTCTGGTCTCTGGTCTATGTTTCTGGTGACACATGGTTTCTATCTGTCACTTCAGATGTTGCTGCGGTCACATGATGCAAAGGGGGTGGTCCCTTCGCACCATGTGACCCGGTCCAGTCTTGACATGAACCAGGAAATGCTTTTGAGCAGAAGCAGCAGCAGCAGAAGTTCAGGAGAAACGAAACTTACACAGAGACAGAGGAGAGTGTCGCTCTACATTCAAACTACAGACTTTGCTATTTCTCTCATCTCTGGGTAAAAAGGTGAGTAGGTTTAAGATTTAGATTTAGAATTAGAATTAGATAGAATTCTATATTGCATATTCTGACATTATTCACATTAATATTGCACAGATACGTAAGTAAAGTAAAGTGACAGTGGACGCATGTGATTTGAGTAATGAGCAAGTCATGATTTTAATAATTGTTGTCTGTCACTGCTGTGGTAAGAGTCTGTGGGGTTTTTCTGTTGAGGGCTCTGGTCCGGTCTCAGTCTGGTCTCTGGTCTCGGTCTGGTATCTGGTCTCAGTCTGGTATCTGGTCTCATTCTGGTATCTGGTCTCAGTCTGGTCTCTGGTCTCAGTCTGGTCTCTGGTCTCAGTCTGGTCTCTGGTCTCAGTCTGGTCTCTGGTCTCAGTCTGGTCTCTGGTCTCGGTCTCAGTCTGGTCTCTGGTCTCAGTCTGGTCTTGTCTCTGGTGGTATAGTCTGTAGTGTTTTCCTGTTGAGGTCTCTGGTCCTGGTCTCTGGTCTCAGTCTGGTCTCTGGTCTCAGTCTGGTCTTGTCTCTGGTGGTAATAGTCTGTAATGTTTTGCTGTTGAGGTTTCTGGTCTGGTCTCAGTCTGGTCTCTGGTCTCTGGTCTCAGTCTGGTCTTGTCTCTGGTGGTAATAGTCTGTAATGTTTTGCTGTTGAGGTTCCTGGTCTGGTCTCAGTCTGGTCTCTGGTCTCTGGTCTCTGGTCTCAGTCTGGTCTTGTCTCAGGTGGTAATAGTTTCGTACAATCCTAGAGCAGAGCTGGCTCAGCAGTGATCAGGCTTTCTGTGTGGAGTTTGATCGGATCAGATAAGAGAACCTTCATCACAGTCAGGAAATGTAGTTCTCTGTGTCCGGGTGGGTTTCCTCCAGGTGCTCCGGTCTCAAAACATGCATCATGGGTAAAATCTTCCTGCAAATGCCCTGACCATGAGTCTCAACATGTGGAGATGGGTCCTGCTCTTGACAGGTTCCCAGAGTCACTAGGGCCAAGTGGTAATGCAAGAATAGGTCAAATGCAGAAGACAGATTTCCCTGTATTGTGTAATTGTAGACTTTTGTTAGACCACTAATCTACACAAGGCCCATTTCTCACCAACATCTCTTGTTGCAGTGATGGCAGCTGTGAGCTTCACGCTCTGTGAGGAGCAGTTCCTCTGCTCCATCTGTCTGGAGGTCTTCACTGATCCAGTCACAACATCATGTGGACACAGATTCTGTTGCATCTGCATAAACCGACACTGGGACTGCAGTGTCCGCTGCAGCTGTCCAGTCTGTAAACATGACTTCAGACCAAAACCACAGCTGAAGGTCAATACTATTTTAGCAGAGATGGTCTCTCAGTTCAGACATAAGTCCCAAGATGAAGACACAGGGATAGAGGCTCAATCCACTGCTCCAGGAGAGGTGCTCTGTGACCTGTGTCCAAAGCCCAGGCTCAGAGCCCTGAAGTCCTGCCTGGTGTGTCTGCTGTCGTACTGTGAGAGCCACCTGCAGCCTCACCTCACTAACCCCCGTCTGAAGAGGCACCATCTGACCCACCCTCTGCCCAACCTGGAGGAGCACATCTGCCCTGAGCACCAGTGGCCCCTGGAACTCTTCTGTAGGGACCACTCACTGTTGGTTTGTCTGAAGTGCACAGCTGAAGAGCATAGAGACCATCAGTCTCTCTGAAGGAGCAGGGCCACGCTGAAGCTACAGATCAAAGAAAGACGTGTGAAGGTCCAGGAGATCCAGCGCTCAGTGGAGCAGAGTCAGAGAAAGGCAGACGCAGAAATACAAGAAGGTCTCAGAGTCTTCACCGCTTTGCTGGAGCGTGTTCAGCAAAGTGCAGACAGCTTCAAACAGAGCATTGTAGAAAAGCATCAGAAGGTGGAGGAGGAGGCGTCTCAGCTGATAGAGCAGATCCAGACAGAGATCTCTGAGCTGGAGCAGAGAGGAGCTGAGATGGAGCAGCTGTGGACCTCTGGAGACCACCTGTCCTTTGTCCAAACCTTCACTACAGCCAAACCTGCTCCACAGCTCAGCGACTGGAGCCAGAAGACTGTCAGGACCCCGTCGTACAAGGGGACAGGGGCCCAAGCTGTGTCTGAGCTGAGCGACAAACTGAACATGGAGATGGAGGCGTTCTTTGAAGTGGAATTTGAAAAAGCACAAGAATTTGCAGTTGAGGTTTCTCTAGATCCAAAAACGGCACATCCAGACTTGGTTCTGTCTAAAGATCTCAAACAGGTTTATGACTGTGACCAAACACAGAATCTCCCAGACAACCCTGAGAGATTTACTTATTTGGGGTGTATTTTAGGGAAACAAAAATTCTCATCAGGAAAGTTTTATTTTGAGGTTCAGGTCAAAGAAAAGACATCCTGGGAAGTAGGAGTGGTTAAAGAGTCAGTGGATCGCAAAGCAGAAGAAGACTCTCTGACTGTACAGAAAGGATACTGGACACTCAACTTAGATGATGATTACAAAACTTCAGACGACCCTCCTGTAATTATCTCTGTGAAGGGCCGTCCAAAGAAGGTTGGTGTGTTTGTGGATTATGATGAAGGTCTGGTCTCCTTCTATGATGTGGATAAAGAGTCTTTCCTTTATTCTTTCACTGACTGTTGCTTCACTGAGAACATTTTGCCGTTTTTCGATCCACACGGCGACTCTGCCCCTATGGTCCTGAAGCCTGTGAGGCAGTTGGTTCAGCATTACAAAAAGTAATAAAGTCAAAATCTGGCTAAATGTGTTTTGAGCCCACCTCTACCTGCACAACTTCTCGAACGGCTCCTGAAGCATAATTTGTTTTTCTCCAAACTACAACCAAAATAGAACCAAAAGCAACAAGTGATGGAAAATAAACAAGAAATGGCTCTGGCAACGGGACATGCAAAATGATCTTGTTTTAAAAAGATGGCCATACCTGCATGTGAAGCTGTGCAGGGCAGGGCCTGGTTAGTACTGTGATGGGGGACCTCCGGGAACCTCAGGTGCCACAGTTACACTTCACCCACATTGCCTAGAATGAGTCTGGTGTGTGTGTGAATGGCTGGTGGTGTTCAGAAGCAGCCAATGGCACAGACTGGTTATCTCGCTTCTGTTAGTGTGCCCCAGGGCAGCTGTGGCTACAAGAGTAATGATATGTGAAGCGTATTATAGTGTCCAAAAGAGCACTATATGAAACTGGTTTATTGTCATCAAAAGATCCAAGAAATGTCTCTCGAAATGAGAAAAAATACAACAAAGCGCTCCAGCCATAATTATGCACAAAGGACCAGCGACTGCCCGGGAACTGTCGGCTTTTTAAATGAAACAATGTCACGTCGCGGTGTCCTATAGCCGCCTCTCGCATCCCGTTACTAAAGGCTTTGCAGAAACATGCTTTTAGCAGATACAGCACAGAAAAATCCAGCCTGGTGCTACACAAGTTATACACAATGTCGAATGTCCATGCTACAACCGAGTCTGCATCAATAAATATGAAACACTAGCTGAACACTGCAAAAAGTGATGAGAAATAAGTAAAAATTTGCTAATGGGACAAGCTAAATTAACTGTTTTTAAAAGATGCAAGAAATGTCTCCCTCTTGAAGTCATAATGTCCTCAAATTAAGATCAAAACCACTGCAATCCGAATCCATTCTGAGGAGGTTTTGAGGCTACATTTTCATGCACCGTCCAGTTAGCTCGGAGGCTCTGAGAGAGTTCTGAATAAGTGTAAGGACAAGATGTTGGCCTGAAAGTTGTGTGAATTAAAATGAGCCCAGACATGAGACAAGGAGATATCAGGAGGTTGTATTGTTCAATTAGCAGTTATTAGCAGTTTTAAGCAAGGTCCCAGACAGCTCCAAAGTCTGGTCCATGGGCGCTCCTGCAGAAGTCTAGCAAGAGTCTGCATAAGTCTAAACAACTCTGCCAAAATCTGGTTGTCACAGAGAAGGACGGCGCTTATATAGGCCTTAGATCAGGGGTGGCCAACCAGTCAGAGACTAAGAGCCAATTTTTTTTACCGTGTTACAGCAAAGAGCCACATCATACAAATGTGCACTACATAAACATCACCCCAACCCTTACACACGCACGCACACGAGCAGACACGCGCACACACATGCAATCTGTCTGAGCAGAGAGAGGTGTGCTCTGCTCAGACAGATGTATTGTAAATGTCATCAACATGATAATGACAGAAATTGCTTCGTACAGCACTAAATGGCTGGACTCGACTCTCCCTGGTTTGTGGGCGCTTCCACCGCTCGCTTCAGCCGCTCCCCGGTACTTTTTATTAATGGTTTGGCCCGGGTTCTAACCGGGCGAGTCGATACCAGAACAATCTCACGTCAGCGAACATCAATTATGATTCCGAAATGAATGCTTTCAATCTCGTACCAAGAAAAAAAATCAAGTTTCAACCCAGTATTCAGCAGAAACACAACTGTCTTTATCGAACCATGATTCACTCTGACTGCGTTTAGTAAAAGATATAGATTTGACACATAACACCAACACCACTTTAGCTGATTTAGAACCACAGACACATGTTCAGTATAAGACCAGATACTTTTGCATTTGATTGAAGACAGACACTCACCAGGCAGAGTTGGCTTATCTCCTGGTGTAACGCTAGCTGGTGTTTTAGCATGTTAGCCGGTGTTAGCCGATGTCCGTAAATGTAGCTAATCCATTTGGTCAAACCACCTCCAGACTTTTCGGTTTTGCCTCTACTTCTGCTGCTGCGATCTTTCATTTCACGGTTGTCACTTTTAAGCGTTTTAACTTTTCTCTGCATTGTGATGTTCGTGGGAATCGTTCTGCTCCGTCCTTAGCGCTAGCTTCACAAACACCTTCTGGTTTCTGGTGGAACCATCGAGCTCACGCTGGTGTCCTCTCCTCAAACTGAGGAAGGTGTTGCCCTCATCCAGCGACCAAGGAATTGTTTTCCGTACGGACGCCATGGGTCGAGGCAACGTGTTGTTTGTTATGATATTCGCAACAGCTGAGGCAGCAGCTGCAGAGTGATTGACAGCGCATCTGACCAATCAGAATTGACGTTCGCCGACATCAGATTGTTTTGGTGGCCTGGCTAGTGGAGTGAAGTCGGCCTTTACTATGGGTCAGAACTACATAGGGAATGAATGGCAGCGCCACCACCGAGGCGTTTTTGACGCTTGTGGAAGCCCGAGAGCCGCACGGAATCAGCCAAAGAGCCGCATGCGGCTCACGAGCCGCGGGCTGGCCACCCCTGCCTTAGATGCTGACGTAAACACATAGACTCTTTGATGGACAGGCCACGTAGGTATAGGAAAGCTGTGGGCGAAACATATGGGTTTTTTCACAGACCAATCTCCAATGTAAACAAGATAGTATATCTATTTACTGCACGTGGATGCCTCTGTATGCAGTTTTAAAATACAGGTGTTAGCATATTTGAAACTCCATAGAAAAGCAATATCTAGATATTCACAGTTGCATGGACAAAAGTTGCTACCGTTAAGCCTAGTGTTTATTAGTGTTGATTCTTGATACAAAAAAAAGTTTTAAAATGTTGTATTTCATTACATTCAGACCAAGAGACCTGGACTAAACCAGTTCTAAACAAGCTTCAAACCAAGTCTTTATCAGGACTAATTCAGATCTAAACCTAAAATCTACCCCAGCTCTCTTTTTTTCAAAATTTGACCAAAATTGCTTTTATTATATCAACCCAAAATTAGAACAACCCTAAAGAGAATGTGTGTATCAGTGTGTGGAGATAGGATTTGGAATGGACTGTCTGAAGAATTGAAATCATGCCCAAATAGTATTGACCAGATGCATCGACGTCATCCAGTCACGTGATTGTGCATGAGCTTACGGCGGAAGTACTGGAAACTCCTCACACTGGAGCAGATTTAAATGCACATTTTGCTGGTAGCATTAGCACATTAGCAATAGTCCCTTTTCTGTCTACAGCTCAAACATGATACTGACATTGACGGAGAGGAAAATAGTGAAAAATGCAACTGACATCTAAGATATGATAAGAGATCCTTTATTCGTGCCACAGTGGGGAAATTTCAATGTTGCAGCGCACATACAGGACAGTAGTAAGAGACATGTTTGAGTCATTGTCCTCCAAACAAATTAATGGAAATAAAATAAATACAAACTTATGATTGATTTATCTTGTAAAAAGTGTTCACTGCATATTAGGGAGTACTTGGATGGCTCCCAGTCCTTTTGGTTGATTGCCACCATTGTCGTCTTCTGTCTTCATCATGAGCAGGTGTCAGATAAAAACACACATTTGGCTTATGTCCTGTTAGAACAACCAACCGCACAGCAAAATATCACAGTTTTGGCTGTTATTCGGTGAAACATGTTGAAATGGTCAAGTTTCTGAAGGCTAGCAGTTAGACTTCCGCCGTCTGTCATGGAGAGTGGGCGTGGCCGGGACGTCACATGCACGGGGTCAATATTCAAAAAAATAAAATAAAATACTGGGCATTGTTCTGGTGTTAGGAGAGGGGTGTGTGGTCGGAGAGTGATTGGACCAGTGTGTGTGTTTGTTTGTGTTTCTGTGTATGTTTCTGAGTGAATGTGTCTGATTGAGTGTTGAGTGTAAGGGGGGGGGGTTGGAAATATTCAGGCGTTTATTTGAGCCAACCGCCAATCCAAACCTTGTATATTGTGATAAATTGTATAATTCTGTTTATCAAATTATGTTAATGATGGTTTTGGAATAAACAAATAAATGAAATGAAACTGATTCCTTGCTGGTTGGTAATCTGTATTTTAGTTTGGAGTGTTTGAGCTTGTATTGTTGTATTGTGTTTGTCTTTTTGTACGAACTCTACTACATATCGCTCATGTAACTTATTTGACAATTGCCCCAGTGGGAATGAATACAAAAGTCTGAATCTGAACCTGTTTTTCAGAGTTGGAGTAAAAAAAATGCACCCAGGGATGAAGCCTACATCAAGTCGACAACCAAACTTTGCTCCCGTTTGCAACATTTTAATCCATTGTTCTGCTCCAAGGTCTGGTGAAATAATTGAATTAGCGCCCCCTACAGACTATGTCAAAGTTCTTTATGGGAACAATAACATTTAGTTTTTTTTAAATGTTTGCTATTTTGCACATAAATCTGTTTTGCCCTCTTGATTAAAAAAGTCAAAGAAACCCAATGCTTATTTTTTACCCTGTTGCCGTGGCGATGACAAACGCTCCTCATTCTGTGTCAATGGCAAATGTACACCTCGCACAAAACCATCAAACCAGCCTCGACCGTTTCACAGATTTGGCTGAAAATCGCTCCACATCATGAACCACAATAGTTGTTCATAGAATTTGGATTCATCACATGATCATCCAATGGAGAATGTACATGAATATATAATTGTATATTATATATGGCCACACTCACAGATCATACATGTGCTCCTGTTTACACAAACAAAGTCTGATTTGTTATAAACTTGACTCGGCTTTTTAACACTTGGGTCTAGGTCACCTGAAGGAGTGAAATATTAATTTGGCTTTTTTGCGCCCCCTACAGACCGAGCCAAAAATGTCCATGGGGAGCCAAACCAACTGATCATATTCATTACAATTTTACAAACATTGTTCTATTGCTGCAGGAGCCAATTCTTTAAATTATTTTTACTTCATACATCATCATTGTTTTACCTATTCTATTTTGACTCATACAAAGATGGTAAACTTGTATATTTAAATTTATCACTTTTATCTTCGTGCAGCACTTTGGAAACTTGTTTTTATTTTTTATGTGCTAAATAAATAAAGTGGGACCTGCGAGCAGCTCGTCTGTCTTTTATTGTTTTCCTAAATTGTCTTGATAGAATTGCGCTCATCTCTGTTCAAAAGTCATAGGAGTTGGACAGAGAGAACTGTCCGCTCTCTTTAACCCTCTGGTCTCTCTCTGGTCTCTCTCTGGTCTCTCTCTGGTCTCTCTCTGTTCTCTCTCTGGTCTCCCTCTGGTCTCTCCCTGGTCTCTCCCTGGTCTCCCTCTGGTCTCTCTCTGGTCTCTCCCTGGTCTCTCCCTGGTCTCCCTCTGGTCTCTCTCTGGTCTCTCTCTGGTCTCTCCCTGGTCTCTCCCTGGTCTCTCCCTGGTCTCTCTCTGGTCTCTCTCTGGTCTCTCTCTGGTCTCTCCCTGGTCTCTCCCTGGTCTCTCCCTGGTCTCTCCCTGGTCTCTCCCTGGTCTCCCTCTGGTCTCTCCCTGGTCTCTCCCTGGTCTCTCCCTGGTCTCTCTCTGGTCTCTCTCTGGTCTCTCTCTGGTCTCTCTCTGGTCTCTCTCTGTTCTCTCTCTGGTCTCCCTCTGGTCTCTCCCTGGTCTCTCCCTGGTCTCTCTCTGGTCTCTCTCTGGTCTCTCTCTGGTCTCTCTCTGGTCTCTCTCTGGTCTCTCTCTGGTCTCTCCCTGGTCTCTCTCTGGTCTCTCTCTGGTCTCTCTCTGGTCTCCCCCTGGTCTCTCCCTGGTCTCTCCCTGGTCTCCCTCTGGTCTCCCTCTGGTCTCTCTCTGGTCTCTCGCTGGTCTCTCTCTGGTCTCTCCCTGGTCTCCCTCTGGTCTCTCTCTGGTCTCTCTCTGGTCTCTCTCTGGTCTCTCTCTGGTCTCTCTCTGGTCTCTCTCTGTTCTCTCTCTGTTCTCTCTCTGGTCTCCCCCTGGTCTCTCCCTGGTCTCTCCCTGGTCTCCCTCTGGTCTCCCTCTGGTCTCTCTCTGGTCTCTCGCTGGTCTCTCTCTGGTCTCTCTCTGGTCTCCCTCTGGTCTCCCTCTGGTCTCTCTCTGGTCTCACGCTGGTCTCTCTCTGGTCTCTCTCTGGTCTCTCTCTGGTCTCTCTCTGGTCTCTCCCTGCTCTCTCTCTGCTCTCTCTCTGCTCTCCCTGGTCTCTCCCTGGTCTCTCTCTGGTCTCTCTCTGGTCTCTCTCTGGTCTCTCTCTGTTCTCTCTCTGGTCTCCCTCTGGTCTCTCCCTGGTCTCTCCCTGGTCTCTCTCTGGTCTCTCTCTGGTCTCTCTCTGGTCTCTCTCTGGTCTCTCTCTGGTCTCTCTCTGGTCTCTCTCTGGTCTCTCTCTGGTCTCTCTCTGTTCTCTCTCTGTTCTCTCTCTGGTCTCCCCCTGGTCTCTCCCTGGTCTCTCCCTGGTCTCCCTCTGGTCTCCCTCTGGTCTCTCTCTGGTCTCTCGCTGGTCTCTCTCTGGTCTCTCTCTGGTCTCTCTCTGGTCTCTCTCTGGTCTCTCTCTGGTCTCTCCCTGCTCTCTCTCTGCTCTCTCTCTGCTCTCTCTGGTCTCTCTCTGGTCTCTCTCTGGTCTCTCTCTGGTCTCTCTCTGGTCTCTCTCTGGTCTCTCTCTCTGCTCTCTCCCTGCTCTCTCTCTCTGGTCTCTCTCTGGTCTCTCTCTGGTCTCTCCCTGGTCTCTCCCTGGTCTCTCCCTGGTCTCTCTCTGGTCTCTCTCTGGTCTCTCTGTTCTCTGATCATGTTTTGAAGGACGAGTTCACTTCCATCAGGACAATGTTTTGTTGCATCATGTTGTAAAACCAAATGTCATTTATAATGTTTTTTCCCGCAGCCTCTGTTAGCCTGAACTCTCTGCAGCTGGTGGTGATGTGGACTTTGATGTTTGAGCTTTATTGTTGTTTTATGTTCATATGTTTGTTTGGGGCTCCACTTCTTTCTTTTCTTTATCTTTATTTATATACCGCCTTTTCACTGCAGATCTGAGTCTCAAAGCGGTTTACAATTGTTAATTTTTGGGCATTTGTCTCTCACTCCACACAGAGACGGGAGCAGGGTCACCAGTACAGGAGGCGCATGCCTGAACTATTGGACATATTTTTAGTGGTAGGGGAAACCGGAGTACCCGGAGGAAACCTACGCAGACGGGGAGAACATGCAAACTCCACTCAGAAAGGCCCTGGTCCGACCGGGATTCGAACCCAGGACCTTCTTGCTGAGAGGCGAGAGTGCTATCCACTCAGCCACCGTGCCGCACTTCAAGTCATATCACTTATATATTCACTTTTATTGTTTTTATTTTTATTTGATGTGCTTGTCAAATGAATTGCCCCAGGTGGGACAAATGAAGTAGTCTGAATCTGAACACAGATAGTCCACACACATGGTCTACACATATGGTCCACACAGATGGTAGACACGCATGGTCCACACACATGGTCTCACACACACATATACGCACACACATACTCACATGCACACACACTTACAGACACACACGCACCTCATTGATTAGCTTCTGTTAAAGGGGTCATCTGCACTTGTCTGTGATCAATAGGAGCTTGTGTGTGTCGTATGTGACAATGACACAGATGTGTGTTTGGAGGCTCCACAGCTGTAACACATTCTGTCACATTTACACAGAAATACATCTGTAAATACAAACGGAAAATATACATATTCCAACACACGAGGAAACTATGGCAAATACTGTTGCTTGATTGTATAATTATGTATATATAGTTCCATGTATATGCTGTGAGCGTAGTAGGCAACAAGACAGTGTGCTAAAGTATCTCCATAAACTAAGGAATGTAAATATTGTTAATACTTATGAATGAATACAATCAATAAAATCAAATCAAGGACTAAGGATCACATCAACAACTAACTGTAAGACTGGACATTTGTGCGACAACATTGCAGTAATTCACGTTTCTCCATCTTTTTTCCCGACCTGAACAGAAAGAGCATTGAAAACTGTTTATGATTGGCGGAAGGACAATTATTTTATTTTCATTTTTTTGGAGATTTGGATTGATGCCAAGCCCCGGTGATCCAAGATGGCGGCGTATTCAAATGATTGGCTTGTGCTCAGTAGCGCATGGGACTTCACAGGCGCTGACAAACTCGCCTGTGTTTGGGCATCGTCTGGTCCTCCCGGTTCGAGCTCCCATAAAGTGTTGCGCCAAATTTGCGTGTGTGGCTCTCATGCACGTGCACAGAGGGGCTTGGCCGCGTTTGGACCAATCAGAGCAGTGGTAGAGCGGAGCCAGAGCGGGAAGGAAAGGAGCAGAGTGTGTGACAGTTAAGTGTGGATTTAAAGAACACCGAAGAATTTAATATAAATAAAAGTTCAGGCTGACAAGGGACACTAAAATCCCCTCAAAATCCGATCTTTATGAAAGCTGTAGGTTCTCTGTCAGGTTCTCTGTCAGCTGAGGTCGAGCTGTTTTAGTTTACATTGAGAACATTTCTGGGTAGCCCTTGTGAATTTACCACAGCACCCCCTGTGCCCATGGGTGGGACAGCTGTAAGCTAGGTAATCCAGGTACTATAGATCCATGGTTGATGCTCGGTTGTACTTCTTCACCATCCATCACCAACTGTAGACCCCCTTTCTACAGGACTTTTAATTTATTTCTTAATATATTACAATGGTGTTAGTTTGTTTTGCTGGGACCAATGAGGGATGTCTAGTATCTTAGGCTCAAGGAGGAACCTCTGAGTTTTCAATACATTGGGTCCTTGTTTAAATGTCATAGTTTTTTATTCAATTTCTGATTTAGTCAAGCTGATATTCAACAGATTCTTGATTTTCAGAAAAATCTACAATTCTTTCACTGCTAATTATTGTCAGTGGCACTAAATAACCTGGACTCATGGGCTCCACCCCCATGCATGCCTGTGAGACTCTTGTGAGTCCTGGATTTACAGCTTGTCCGTCCATGGGGGCAGATCCCTTTCTCAATGTGGGCTTCCCTGAGATGTCTTCTTTTTTTTTTCACTCACATTTTTTTTTCTCTTGTTCCTCGCCGATACAGGAGGGTCTAAGAAAAACGAGTTTCCAGGATATTTAAGGACATTTTTGGACAGTGGTCTTTCCTCTCCCCATGTGTTATTATTGAATATTCTGTGTTCCAGCTGTTTGATTTTCTAATCTGTTGCTGGCGAATGAACAACTGTGTGAAGTCCTCCCCAACCACTGCTGTTGTGATTTGGGGCAATACAAAAATATTAATTGAACATTTTAAAGCAATACTATAGTTCATTTTGTATTGATTTGAGAATGAGAAACCCCAGCTTTAATCTCCCTCCCCTGTCCTTCTCTGTTCCCGGTCTCCTGCAGATGTCATGGCGTCCGACTTACCGAAGCTCCAAGTTTCGAAACGTGTACGGGAAGGTGGGGAGCCGTGATCAATGCTTTGACGGCATCCCCATCACCAAGAACGTCCACGACAGCCACTTCTGCGCCGTCAACGCCAAGTATGTCGCCGTGGTGACGGAGAGCGCGGGCGGAGGCTCCTTCATGGTCCTCCCCATCAAACAGGTACGGCCACACAGACACTGTTTATTGGATGGATGGATAGATGTATGGATGGATAGATGGATGCATGGATGGATGGATAGATGGATGTATGAATGGATGTATGGATGGATGGATAGATGGATGTATGAATGGATAGAGAGATGGATGTATGAATGGATGTATGAATGGATGTATGGATGGATGGATAGATGGATGTATGGATGGATGGATAGATGGATGTATGAATGGATGTATGGATGGATGGATAGATGGATGTATGAATGGATGTATGGATGGATGGATAGATGGATGTATGGATGGATAGAGAGATGGATGTATGAATGGATGTATGGATGGATGGATAGATGGATGTATGGATGGATAGAGAGATGGATGTATGAATGGATGGATGGATAGATAGATAGATGGATAGATGGATGGATGGATAGATGCTGATCCCTGTTGGAGAAATTCAGGTGTCCGGTAGCAGCAAAAACACATCCATCCACACAAACAAAACTAATACATTGATCATTCTAAAAAGCTAACAATAGTAATAATAAAATGCAGCAGCACTTTAGGTCACAGCAGCGGAGGTGGAGCAGCCGCTGGGTTTGGACCAAGACCTCTCTGCTCTGGTCTGGACCAGTGTAAAACCATGAACACTGTACTGCAGCAACATCTCAGAAAGAAAAAAGCAAGAAAAATAACAACTGTAAAACATAAAAAAACAACTCTTTCAGAACTACTTAGGACTTTCAGCCGTTTCCAGCGCATTCAAAAGAGTCAAATAGACCAAATAGACCAAATAGACCAAAGACTGTAACGGCCTATCTCCACCGTTGGAAATGTCAATATTATGTGAGCTTTTTTTCCTCCGGCCGACTTTTTCAAAATGGTCGCGAGTAGCCCCTTCCATCAGAACCTGGTGGAAAAAATGTGTTAGCTGCACGAACCCCATTCATTTGAAAGTCCACAGTGGCTAAACTAGACTGGTCCAAAAGAAAATACTCCCCTCAGTGTTGACACACATTTATCTGATAGAAACCCAGAAATGAACAGATAATCTCGCTTCTGGGTTTCATCTTCTGGGATTTAGGTACTGTAGTGACCAAACTGGACAGACTTATGTGATCCTGCTTTCTAGTTTAACTGAGAACCAAGCTGTCAAATGATCAAAAGAGGATGGCCCCATTTCCTTCTTTTTGTAATGAAGAATAAATCACTGTTTACATGATATATTGATCTGAAAAAAAGGCTCATTTGATTTTATAATTTATTTGTGTCTGGGTGCGCAATTGTTAAATAAAACCCTTCCATAGTGTCCTTTTAATCCAAGAATGAAATGAAAAAAAACTTTGCCTTTTAATAAAAATGGCCATAATATTGGATTGAAAAGTTGTACTACTCAGACACAAGAACCAGCGGATGCCTTTTGGCTTGTCTGCTGAAAAACTAAGCCTTTGACCCGGGACCCCTGGAGTGGGCCGACGGAGTGCTAACATCACCGTAGTGTTAATGTGTAAAAGGCTGATTTGAACATAAGCTAGGTGGAGCCAAAGAATCAATGAGGCGGGAAAAACAGACATTTCACAGACCAAGGCAATCTACAATGTTTTTGAGGACCAACATTTTTTTAAATAGAAGCAAGACGCCAAAACACGTCCAAGCCTCCAACCATCTCCAGGCCTTTCGCACATGTTTTTAGTGAAAGAAGAAACCAGAGCAAGCGAGGAAACCTATGCGGACACAGGGAGAACATGCAAAATCCACACAATAAGGCCTGGAGATGGAATCGAACCCAGGACTTTCCAGAAATGCGGACACAATCTCTGCTCAATACAATCATTATACAACATTTGTTGGTGTCTCCTTTAATACGACATTTATCAACCGACAGGCTCATGACGCCGCGTAGGAGGCCAGTTTCTGTGTGAAATTTGCATGTTCTCTCTGTGTCTGCATTGGTTCCCTCCGTATCACTAAAAACATGTATAATAGGTCTGGCATTGTGTCGCCTGTACGACGACCTCGCTCCCATCTCTGTGTGGAGAGTCCAAAACACACACAACAATTTTACAGCATTTTTTCACTCTGGTTTATGAAAGGCACTATGTAAATACAGATTATGTACTTTAATTAGCAATATGTAAGATTTGTATGTCATCATTAAAGGGCCCTAATCTGTCAAAAGGCATTAATTAAACATGCTATTTTTCCAATACTTCTTTAAGTGATTGTAGTTGAGAGATTTTTGAACTTCAATATGAGCCCCTAAGTCTTGATTTTAATTTCGATGTCCCGCCGTCCACCATTTTACCAATCAAAAAGTGAACGATTCGGGTTACCAGAACTCAGCGCGTTGAGCTAATCTCCCCAGTAAAGTAACAGGTGGTAGGAATAAAAAAGGTCTTGCTATGATTCTCCAATCATCAATCACAAAACAAGGAATAAAACCAGGATATGTGTGAAAAAAGGTGTTGGTTTTAAATTTTTTGTTGACAAAACATTTATATAGATATTATGGTCCTGGTTGGATTCGTCTGCATATCTGGCAACCTGAGTCAGGGAGAGCGGGAGAGGCTGCAGTACCACTTTTGGCCAGATTTGTACATACTGCTCCTTTAAAGATTACTTAAGTTGGCTACTGAGGGGATGACAATATGATTCTTTTAGTAGTCATAAAAACATACTACCATCAATGCTTCAAGTGAATCATAAAAGTAGAAAGTCAGTTCAATGGCTCCTGAATTTTTTTCCCGCAGCTGGATCTGGCACATGTATATAGCGTGTTTTCTCGTGCACATGTTTCCACTTGATGTTTTGTTTGTTTCTTTCATAATTTAATAATGATGTTTGTTGCTGTTACTGCAGATCTTTGCCAACTCTTGTTTTGGAGCCAGTGTAATGTCAGAGCCAGGCCCCATTAACACATGGGAACGGCTTGTAAACAGTAGCAGTCGTATAGTTTAAACAGATCATATTCATTCTGATGCGGCATGAAAATGTGTGTGTGTGTGTGTGTGTGTGTGTGTGTGCTTAATAATTTGTGGTGGGTCTGTTGGGTGGAAGGGTCATGGACATATGGGATCGTTTTTAACCAAACTGTAAAGCACAATGAGACACGCTTTATAAATAACATTTGATTGGTTGATTTTTATATTCTGGCATGTTTCGGCTTCTCATCAGGCCTAAGAAAAAACTCAAGGGTCGAAAAACACAAGAGTCTAAACACAAGAAACTCAAGGGTCAAAACACACATCCGACTTGATCCGAAGGGGCTGGTTTTAACATAAAGATAATCATAGTTAAAGAAAAACGTGGAGATAGAGTATTTCAGTTGTATGTCTGGATCAGTGTTTTTCAACCAGTGTGCCGCGGGACGTTAGTGGACCTTGAGCGGTTGCTTGATGTGCCTTTGAAAAAGATCCACTATCACCTAATCGTTCAAAACAATGTAAAACAAAAATAATGAAGAAGATTAGAAAGACTTTTTTGCGCTTGTTTGATTTTTTATATAAAACACTTTGATGAGAAGGACTTTCTGTTCTTAATCACAGCTACAGAATTTCAATATTTGCATCAGTTTCTGTTGTGCGCCATGTGATTGTTTTCACTGAAATATGTGTGCAACAGCTCAAAAAGGTTGGAGAACCCTGGCATAGATAAACCAAATTGTTTTTTGTTTATTATTTTAGCTGCCCAAAATCTGAAATGCTGCCTTCCTATGTTTCGCCCTGACTCTGGGCACCACCAGGAGGCCAGTTCCTGTGCTCCTCAGAGTCCCAACAGGAGGCCAGTCCCTGTGCTCCTCAGAGTCCCAACAGGAGGCCAGTCCCTGTGCTCCTCAGAGTCCCAACAGGAAGCTAGTCCCTGTGCTCCTCAGGTCACAGCAGGAGGCCAGTCCCTGTGCTCTTCAGAGTCCCAGCAGCGAGGCCATGGAGAGACTTGAAACAGAGCTGCTTTAAAGTATGTTCTCTGAGCCACAGGAGCCGGTGCAGAGACCTGAGACCAGGACTAACCTTCTGCTCACTTTACTTTCCATAAGTGCTGAAACACTTGTAATTTAATTGCCCTGGTCTGGTGCTGAGTCGGGTGAGTTTTCGGCAGAAGGAGCAGTTTTGAGCGGAAAAAACAAAAAATTCAATTGAGACAGCAGCTACACGCGCATCTCTCTGCCATGTTTTCAAATCTATAAGCACTTTGCTAACATACAAACCAGTACTTTGCTTTTCTGTCTGCAATAGGACCTTAAAGCACCTCTTAACACCCCCACATCAGTCCCACTCTGCTGACCTACATATGAACATGTAATATTAATAACAAGAGGCCCCAACACACACACACACATACACACACACACAGCACTTAGCACTTGATCCACAATGCTTTTCAAGTGTATTTGTGGGTCTGCCGCTCTCCAGGAAACTGTTTCATCCAATGCAATGAATCGGTTCCCGCAGTTTGCATGTTCTCCCCACGTTTGCGTAGCTTTCCCTCTGATGGTGTTACAGCTGTACAAAAAGTTTATTCTTTAACAGATGTGTGTGTTACGCAAAGGACAATACTTAGCATAATGTCAGCGTAACGAGCCGAGGAGCAGTGTTTGGGTGAGTGAAGCTCTTCCCGTCAGAGTTTTGCACGTGTTGCTATTTGCTTTAGAGCGTAGTAGTCCTGATAAAAAATATGTTTGAAAATGTTAATATTGCTCCAAGTGGAGGAGAAATCTGCCGTAGTTTGACACGTTCCTGACTTCCCCCTGTTGTCTCCACTTTGATGTGGGAAAAACAATCTACATTTAAAACAGAAACAGTGTGTGGCAAGGCCAAAGCTACACCTTCTGCTGCCCCCTATGGACAGCCTGGGCTACTGCAGCCACAGACTTCCCAGTGGAATACATAAAGAGGCTTGTCTCCTCTCCTCCTCCTCTCATCCTCTCCTCTTCCTCTGCTCTTCTCCTCCTCTCATCCTCTCCTCTTCCTCTGCTCTTTATTTTTTTTTCTTTGCTAATTCAAAGCTAGGCATTCTCTTGAGGAATTATTTGCCATGATATGAACCTGAACCTTTGTATATGTGTGTGTGTGTGTGTGTCTATGTCTGTCTGTGTGTGTGCATCTGTGTGTGTGTGCGTGTGTGTGTTTGCAGTGCGGGCGGCTGGACTCTCACTACCCCAGAGTGTGTGGTCATCAGGGGAACGTGCTGGACATAAAATGGAACCCTTTCTTCCACAACATCATTGCCTCCTGCTCAGAGGACACCTCGGTGAGTGATGCCTGGAGGGTGGTGCCTGGAGGGTGAGGCCTGGAGGGTGGTGCCTGGAGGGTGAGGCCTGGAGGGTGGTGCCTGGAGGGTGAGGCCTGGGGGGTGATGCCTGGAGGGTGAGGCCTGGAGGGTGATGTCTGGGGGGTGAGGCCTGGGGGGTGGTGCCTGGAGGGTGATGCCTAGAGGGTGATGTCTGGGGGGTGAGGCCTGGGGGGTGGTGCCTGGAGGGTGATGCCTAGAGGGTGATGTCTGGGGGGTGAGGCCTGGAGGGTGATGCCTAGAGGGTGCTACCTGGAGGGTGATGCCATGGGGGGTGGTGCCTGGAGGGTGATGCCTGGAGGGTGAGGCCTGGAGGGTGATGTCTGGGGGGTGAGGCCTGGAGGGTGATGTCTGGGGGGTGGTGCCTGGAGGGTGATGCCATGGGGGGTGGTGCCTAGAGGGTGGGGCAATGAAGGTGTGAAAATGACGAGTGGATCAATGCATCACCTTTTATTCACTCAGTACAGTACAGTACAGAACACTTGTCTACATGAGACTGTTGATGATAAAGTCAGATCACTCCAAACTACTCCACTTTTCTATTGTAATATAGCTTTTCAATGAAAACTCACAATTATAGATTAAAAAGTCCCTCATTCGTCCCACAGTGGGGAAATTCCAGTGCTGCATTACACATTACAGAACAGTAGGAATAACTCTACACTAACATAAAATATAGGTTAATATAGATAAGTTGAATTTTTACATGTGACCTGAAAGACAAACAGGTGAGAAGTCATTAGGCAGAGAATGAACATTTGTGTTATTTATTTATTTGTGTCTTTGATGGTGGTCATTTTAACCATCTTAACAGCTTTAGGACATTTCACTTATTTTTTCAAAACTAGTCTCTGGAGGTCTTTGTTAGACAGGGGTGTACACAGGGAAAAGAATGGGAACCACTGCTTCACAGACTGAAGAGGAGTGAGTGGGGACTGTTCCCCTTGCTCTCCTCTGGGGGGCGCTATCGTTTCCTCAATTAGACCACTAAAGCTAGCCTTACTCGGTGTATGTATTTTTATTGTATGTTGTGACACTGACCATGACACATCTGCTGGAGAAGTTCAGTGTGTGACGATAATAAACTTGAACTTGATCTACAGCAATCTGTGTCTGTAACATGTAACTCTCTGGTGGATAATCCCGTGCTCAGGCCGTGGCTGTAATCCTAATCCAGTATTAGAAAAGAATTGAACAACTTGAAACGCAGTCTGCCGTTTTAAAGTATGCTACAGTGTGTTCTCGGGAATCAGACCTGAGGCTGTGTTTAGCTTCTTACGAGACAGAGAACTGCAGAGAAAGTGCAGAGACTGATTACTCAGATGGTTGAAGTTGTAATTCCCACTGTCACCAGCAGAGGGCTGCAGTGAGCCCGTTTTGACAATGAGGTTCAAGATGGTGTTGTAAAAGAGACTGGAGCCCCCAAAATAAACGTGTGTGTATCTGTGTGCGTGTATGTGTGTGGATATATATATGTGTGTGTGTATGTGTGTGGATATATATGTGTGTGTGTATGTGTGTGGATAAATGTGTGTGTGTGTGTGTGTGTGTGTGTGTGTGTGTGTGTGTGTGTGTGTGTGTGTGTGTGCATGTATGTGTTTGCATGTTTGTATGTCCATGTGTGTCCATGTGTGTGTGTACGTGTGTCAGGTGCGTGTATGGGACATCCCAGAGGGCGGGCTGAAGCGGAACATGAGCACCGCCCTGCTGGAGCTTTACGGACACAGCAGGAGAGTGGGACTCATCGAGTGGCATCCGACCAGCAGCGGCATCCTCTTCAGCGCGGGATACGACTACAAGGTCCAGCACCACACACAGACACACACACACAGTGATACCACACACACACACACACACACACACACACACACACAGTGACGCCACACACATCCCAGGTCTTCATGATCTCAGGTCTTCATTATCCCAGGTCTTCATGATCTCAGGTCTTCATTATCTCAGGTCTTCATGATCTCAGGTCTTCATTATCTCAGGTCTTCATGGTACCAGGTCTTCATAATCTCAGGTCTTCATGATCGCAGGTCTTCATGACCTCCCGCTGTCTGCAGATCCTCATCTGGAACCTGGACCTGGGAGAACCAGTGAAAATGATCGACTGTCACACAGACGTGGTTCTAAGCATGTCCTTCAACACGGACGGAAGCCTCTTGGCCACGAGCTGCAAAGACCGAAGACTGAGGGTCATCGAGCCGCGCTCCGGAGCCGTGCTGCAGGTGTCATGTACTTCACTTTAAAGTTGTGGTTAAAGCTGAGGTACCTGACTTTCAAATCAGTTTGTTTGTATCAGGTTTCACATGCATGGACTGTTTGCCTCTGTCACATTTAGATCAGCTTTTTCAAACAGAACAGAAAACAGATATGATTATAAAGATGTCTTGTGGTTGAATTTCTTAAATGTATTCTTAATGAGACAAAAATTGAGGTACCCCAGCTTTACAGTTTTTCTCAGTGGCTTTGGTGCATTTCTCACATCAGTCTTACCATATTTACACATAAGTTAGTGCATTTCTCAGAACAATTAGCACAAACTGCAAAACCTGCAAAAGTCACTTTCTCAAAATGAAAAGTGAATTCCTTCCTTGAAACTGTCGTCAAAATGATAAGTCCTAACAACATTGAGTATGAACAATAGTCACATGACTTAGTTACGTTTTCATTGTGAAAGTTTACCCTCTCTGTGTTTTTAATGTAAAAAGTCAGATCTCTGAGACACTGCCTGAAAATGCTCAAGACATCACTTTACACAACCAAGTTACACATTACTGCATTTAGTGAGGTAACTGAGTACAAGACACATGTATGTATGTATGTAAGTGTGTGTGTGCGCATGTGTGTGTGTGTGTGTGTGTGTGTGTGTGTCTGTGTGTGTGTGTAAATACAGTCACTTACATGTCTTTACGTTGAACAAACGTACAAGAAATAGAAAAATGTAGAAATAAATTAAAACAATAAAACACACACCTCCTCATGAGTGAAGCTGAAATTCATCTGAGAGAAATTGTTCAATTTAGGTTTAGTTCAACAATGTTGTGTGTGATTGCCAAAGCGATGAAATGAGGACTATTGGTTTTAAGGGAAAGACTATTCAGAAGTTATAATTATGTTTCATTTTGACTGACAGGACAGAAGCAAATGATAATGTTATGAAACAGCAGAGAATTGTATGAAAGTCACTGATACATGTCCAAAAGCATTTGTAATCTGTTCAAAGGAGAAACTGCTGCGATGATGTCACACATGACTCAGTGCTGTGGAGATTGAACTAATAGTTTTGAGAACCTAAAGTCTGAGAAATGCACTAAAGCGACTGAGATAAAGTGTTGGGATCAGGATCAGGTTTGCTCCTCTGTCACTAACATGTGTATGCTGACAGAAGGAAGGGTCGGACTCCGATGTGTGGGTCTCTAAACCATCTGAAATGTGTAATATAGTTGTCACTGACACTGGGACTTCTGGTCTTGTCCTTGTGCTGATGTGGACTGTCTCTGGTCCTCTGTGTGCAGGAGGCCAGCTGTAAGAACCATCGAGTGAACCGTGTGCTGTTCCTGGGAAACATGAAGCGTCTGCTGACCACCGGCTTCTCCCGCTGGAACACCCGGCAGATCGCCCTGTGGGACCAGGTCAGAGCCTCCACCCCCAAAGGGTCTAGTCCTCATCTAGTCCAGCCTCCACCCTCAAAGGCCACAGTCCTCATCTAGTCCAGCCTCCACCCCCATAAGGTCCAGTACTCATCTAGTCCAGCCTCCACCCCACAGAGGGTCCAGTACTCATCTAGTCCAGCCTCCACCCCCCATAAGGTCCAGTACTCATCTAGTCCAGCCTCCACCCCACAGAGGGTCCAGTACTCATCTAGTCCAGCCTCCACCCCACAGAGGGTCCAGTACTCATCTAGTCCAGCCTCCACCCCACAGAGGGTCCAGTACTCATCTAGTCCAGCCTCCACCCCACAGAGGGTCCAGTGCTCATCTTGTCCAGCCTCCACCCCACAGAGGGTTCAGTGCTCATCTAGTCCAGCCTCCACCCCACAGAGGGTTCAGTGCTGTGGTGTAGTCCAGTCCGCTCTTATTGGTTAGATTTCTTGATGTCTCTTTTGGTACAAGTACGAGGGAAGCGTGAGCGATCGCTGCTGTAACTTTTAGCTCTGGTTGGTCAGAACGCTGAGGTTTTTTCAGGTCCTGTGGAAGTAGAACCACTGCACACATACTGCAAAAGAAAACCAGATCTGGCTAGAACGCATCACTTTCAATAATATTTGGAACGTCCAACATGCGAACAAGCAGACGTGGGCAGAAATGGGCAGACGTCCTGGAGCCCCGGGGCATAGTATGAATACAGAATCAACGTGACACAAGTGATCACACATAAGCAAATACTAGATCTGAAAAAACACAAGGGTAAAATAAAACTCAAAGAGCAGAAAAAACCACAACCATGACGGGTGCCTCCGGGTGGCTCAGGTGAAGAGGGTGATGAGCTCTGTGTCTGCAGGAGGACCTGTCCATGCCCATGGTGGAGGAGGACATCGACGGCCTGTCCGGACTGCTCTTCCCTTTCTACGACACCGACACACACATGCTCTACCTCGCTGGGAAGGTAATCTTTGCCCACGTGCATAAAGGATGTAGTGAGCATCTCACTTACTCTTGTTCCCATCTCCCAACTCTCTGTGTAACTGTAATCTAACTGTAAAGTAATTACCAATTATTGTCTTTCTATACTCTTACATAACATAGAATGTAATTACTGTAACTAACTTCTCCCCACAAGGCATTTGTACCGACGACAGCAGCCTGTGACGGTTCATATTTGTGTCTCAGGGAGACGGAAACATCCGTTACTTCGAAGTGACCGCAGAGAAGCCATACCTGCAGTACCTCATGGAGTTCCGGTCCCCAGCTCCGCAGAAGGGACTAGGTAAGGCTCGCACCCACACCACCTTTTTCAACCAAGACAAACATGTTTGGGTTACAATACTGGTTACTGGCCCTGGTATTATTCTACAGCATTTCACTCTTCTCTCGTTGATAAATGTCACCTTAGCTTTCCCTTCTGTGCCACAGACCAGTGCAGGAATGTGTGGGGCTCTTGAGGGTTGTGGGGGCCTGAGGTTCCTTAAGAACAAATAAAATAAAAATAATATATATATATATTTTTTTTTACATATATTGATCTGATTTGGGGTTTAGACGCTGACAGAAGCACTATCTGACAATTTTTCATGCCTAATAGGATGTACGCTCTCGCTCTGCAGCCTGTAGAGATGTATTCCGTGTCCAAAGGCCTACTGCTCCTCTGCTCTGAATGAGCAGCTGCAAAAATGATAAAATACTGTACATCCAAAAATATATACACATGTCACACTTCTCATCACGTTTGCAGATTTGTGGCTTTCAGAAAAAAACAATTTTGTTCACGGCCTTTACCCTCCATCAGTGAAGGACAGGGATGAGATTTTCAATATGCAATGTTAGTGCGGTGTTAAACATTTTTAAGTTTACATTCAGATACTATACTCCAAGTTTTTTTTAGAATTGACAAATTCAGTTGTGTTGTCGATGCAGGACGGTCTAAGGACAGTGATGATCCAGGACTTTTATCCATTTATTAACATTCGTGTACATTGATCATCATCCAATGGCTCCCACTGTATATGTTTGTTGTTGTTTGATTCTCTGATCCAGTGGTTCTCAAAGTGTGGTAGGTGTATCACTAGTGGGGCTCCCTCTAGTGGTATGCCAAAGAATCACTAAAATAAATGATTATATATATATATATATATATATATATATATATATATATATATATATATATATTATGGCTGTCAAAATTATTGAATTAATTACTGTTTTCATTAACGCGTTAAATTACGCATGTCCGAATGACCCGCGCATTTATAATAATATCACTCAGAATGCCACGGACACGTGCGAGTGTGTGATGGTGACAGCGGTAACGTGGTCATATAATACACGCATATAGACGCACAGGGGCCATTCTCTGATGTTGTGTGACACACGGAGGAGAGGAGGAGACACGCTGAAATACAACTAAACTCGCAAAATTAAAGCTGGGGTACCTACATTTTCCCTTTCATTATCAGGTCTTGTTGGTTGTACCCAAAAGTAGAAGGTTGTGAGCAAGTCAAACAGATTTAAGTACATATGGTATGAATAACAATGTGTCAGATTTGAAAAAGAATGTTAAAAATGCCATTAATCATGAGTTAACTCATCATTACTATGCGATTAATCAACAAACAAAAATTAATCGTTTGACAGCCCTAATATATATATATATATATTTTTTTAATTCTCACCTTTGGCCCTCTGCGGGCGGTTATCCCTCTCTAAGCTCGGGTCCTCTACCAGAGGCCTGGGAGCTTGAGGGTTCTGCGCAGTATCTTTGCTGTTCCTAGCACTGCACATTTCTGGACCGAGATGTCCGAGGTTGTTCCGGGGATCCGTTGTAACCACTCATCTAGCTTCGGGGTCACTGCCCCGAGTGCACCGATCACCACGGGCACTACTGTCACCTTTACCCTCCAGGCCCTCTCCAGCTCCTCTCTGAGACCTTGGTATTTCTCAAGCTTTTCATGTTCTTTTTTCCGGATGTTACCATCGCTTGGAATTGCCACGTCCACCACCACGGCTGTCCACTGCCCTTTGTCTACCACTGCAATGTCAGGTTGGTTCGCCATTACCATTCGGTCGGTCTGTATCTGGAAGTCCCACAGGATCTTTGCACGCTCATTCTCCACCACCTTTGGAGGAGTTTCTTAGACCTTGGGGTTTCCAGCCCATACTCTGCACAGATGTTTCTGTACACTATGCCAGCCACTTGGTTATGGCGTTCCATGTAGGCCCTCCCTGCCAGCATCTTGCACCCTGCAGTTATGTGTTGGATCGTCTCAGGTGCCTCTTTGCACAACCGACACCTTGGGTCTTGTCTGGTGTGGTATATCTGGGCCTCTATCGCTCTGGTGCTCAGTGCCTGTTCCTGTGCAGCCATGATGAGTGCCTCTGTGCCTCATCTCGCCACTGCCTGAGACATTACGTCATTCGTTTTGGCCTTCTCCGTGATGTAGTTATGGAGTTTGGATGTTTCGTATATATATATATATATATATATATATATATATATATACACACAGGGGTGGCACATAAGTGGTACGCAGGTACGCATGCGTGACAAATCAGAAATGCGTATGGGGGGCACGGTGGCTGAGTGGATAGCACTCTCGCCTCTCAGCAAGAAGGTCCTGGGTTCGAATCCCGGTCAGAACAGGGCCTTTCTGGGTGGAGTTTGCATGTTCTCCCCGTCTCTGCGTAGGTTTCCTCCGGGTACTCCGGTTTTCCCTACCACTAAAAACATGCACAAAAGGTCTGGCATGTGCCTCCTGTACTGGCGACCCCGCTCCCATCTCTGTGTGGAGTGAGAGGACAAATGCCCAAAAATAACTATTGTAAACCGCTTTGTGACTGGTCTGTGAAAGGTGGTATATAAATAAAGATTACTTACTATCGCTTGAGTTAGTTACCGCATTTGCGTACTTCACATAGACCATAGGTCTATGTGAGGTGAACCGTGTTAAGGAAAGAATGAATGGGGCCATGTATCGTGAGATTTTCAGCCAAAACCTCCTTCCATTGAGTTGAATTTCTGTTATTGACCAAATACTTATTTTCCACCATAATTTACAAATAAATTCTTTAAAAATCCTACAATGTGAATTCCTGGATTTTGTTTTCACATTTCTGTCTCTCATAGTTGAAGTGTACCTATGATGAACATTACTGACCTCTGTCATTATTTTAAGTGGGAGAACTTGCACAATCGGTGGCTGACTAAATACTTTTTTGCCCCACTGTATGTACTGTATATAATTCTTTTTTCTTTTTTTTTAAATAAGGAGTCCTGGACAAAAAATTACAAACAATTACAGATTATTGAACAGTCACATACAATTTCAGAAAGTTACAGATAATAAAAACAGTTACATTTCAATGAGGACGTCTCAGTCTCTCAATCTGGATCTAAAAGCATTCAATGAAATAAGTTCAGATAATTTCCAGTCTTTTTGCAACACGTTCCATGTAGAAGGAGCACCATGTACAAAAGCTTTTTTTCCCCCAGTTCTGTGCAAAAGAAACACAGAGCAACAAAAGATCATTTGATCCAAACCATATGAACATGTCTCTGTGTGAGTAAAAGTGCACCAGTGTCCGAACCTTCTGGTGGACAAAGATCCCACTCCAGAATATAAGTCACAGTGAGTCAAGGCTTTCCAGTTTCCAATGAATTGAACATTTTACTTGGATCATTATTTAAGTACAGTTGTTGGTTTTTTCCCTATATTTAAGTCTTTCGGTTGAAACTTTGTCAAATGTTATAATGGCTGACAATATCAAATATACTTAACCCTTATTATTGATGAATACTTAGGCTTACTACGCTACTGTGTGGTGTTGGTCATTTGTGGTAGTACTTGGAGAGGCAAGTATTTTTGGAGGTGGTACAGAACCACTGATCTGATCTGTTGCTGGCGACCGGCTTTGTATTGTCCTTCGAGATGCCAGCTGTGATTTAAGGATGTACAAAAGTTGAATTGAGATTTTAAAAAAATGGTACTCCCAGGAATGTATTATATCAATGTACACTCTATTCCAAGTAAAACCTCCAGGCCAAAGTCCTCAATTTGATTAAAAGTGTTAAATAAAATCCCAGGTTAATGCGGTAGAATAATATAGTTGGAGACACATGAGATAGTGTCTGAGTTCTGACCTTTGTCAATAAAGTCTGATAACTGAGGGCGAGGAAAGTTCGAGAGCCAGGGTCCGTCTTCAGAATCCCATAATGCATCGTCCGAGGTGCGGTTGTTCCCGAGCTGGACTAACGCGTATGAGGGGTTGGGAGACACGGGAGACCAGGAGCCGACGGGGATGGGGGTCTCATTGTGGCCATGGAGGGTCTGCAGCAGCTGGGGGTCTGAGGGGTGAGGACTAAACTTGTCCACGTCCTCCTGTGATCCTGCGACCGGACAGTAGAGCACAGGGGCCTGCACGATGGGCTCCTCGACGGGACAGAGGGAGACGCCCTGGAGAACACATACAACACACTGCTAAGAACTGTGTGTGTGTGTGTGTGTGTGTGGAGAAGATTAGCACAGAAACATTAGAGAAAACTGATGTGTATACCATAGTAGAGTATTGTAGATATGAGTTGTGTAGGAAAAGCATCAGTCAACACAAAAGAACACACACACAAACACACACGTCTCCACAAACCATAGTGCACATATACGACATTCCTACAACACAACTCAAAGCAGACATACTCGGACAGCACAAAGCACACACACACACACACACACGTCCTTGCAAATGCAGGAGGGTGGGTCTAAGGACAGTGATCCGGAACATTCCTATGGACCAATTTCTCGGACGTGTTTTGATATTATTGCATTTTTTGGGGCTGAACTTGACGTTTCTGGCAATATGACAATTTGTAGTTGTTTTTTTTCTTTTTTAATATATACGATTTTTTTTTTTAAATGTAAATTTGGGAAAAATTATGAAAAAAATTCTCACTTACTATTTTAAATATATTACTGGCATAGACAAAGAATAGTAATATTGTATCAACCTGGTGCTTTTCCATAGTCAATCAAACTTTCACACGACTAAATACATTTCAGTGAGAGCTTTGCACCAACGGGATACGTAACCAGTTATTTACTACAAACAAAAGTCACAAATCAAGAGCTGGGCGATCTCCCTGAAAACCTTTTCCGTTCCGTGTTGTGCTGTCGAGCTGCCTTTGAATTCTTTCTTTGGCCTAAAGAGAGTAACGTGTGGACCTCGTCGACCGACCAGGACGTTGACTTTTGGGGCTTTCTGAGCGATTCCATATTTCTCGAGTTAGAAGGACGTGTTGAAGCAGAGCAGCCGGTTTAAAAAATGGTGAGGGAAGTTGTGTTTACCATAGGGTCGGACGTTGTACTTCCAGTGACAACACTCGTGGGCCAATCAGTGTGTAAGGCAGTCGGCTGACGACACTTTGTTGTGCTTTGACACGCTTGAAACGCAGCCGTGGCGGTACTAAAAAGTACACTAATCCCACCCCAAACCCTGATGGAAATACAAAAAAACGCGCTGTGCTGTGCAGTGCCGTGACTATGGGAAAGCACCAATACTCTCTCTTGTCCTGGGTCTTCCTTGAGGTGTCCTCCTACTTCCTGCCCGTTAAAACTACACACTAGTCACAAAAAGATATCATACATACTGGAAAGGGTACGTTTATTCCCTTCAACACTGGCTCAGGAATGGGTGGGTATACATTCCGTGTGATGCTGTGGAAACAAAAAATTCCTTCTTAAATGAACGTCTCTGCTCTGTGACTTCAAAAGAAACAAGAGAAAAGCAAAAAAACAAGGAAAAAGCAAAGTCATACCAAGCCCGTTGTCTGTAGCAAACCACGGCGAAGACAATGAGTGAAGAACAGACTGCAAAGAGAGAGATCAGGAAGGCACTGATCAAGTTATCACCTGGAAAGACATCACATAAGTATTAGGATTCCAAAATAATCTCGTTTTAACTTGCATGGTGCTTACTTTGGGGATTCAAAGTGACGTGTATTTTTGTCAAACCACATTCTCCCATCGAGGTCAGGGCCAGCACCGAAAATGTGTAGGAATCAATGTCGAGGTTTCTCACGGTCAGATTGGAAACTTGGGCATTCTCTGTGGCGATAAAAGCTTTGTGAGTGTGTGAAAATGACTGAGATGTGTTTTTTTTTAGCCAAGTGCGAAGGGGTAATACCTGTGTGGACCTGGACGCTTTTGTGTTCATTAGAGCAGTTCATGACGTAGCCTTTTATGAACGCGCTCTGTTCTTCCAAACTCACTCGGTCCCAGGATATGGTCACGTCCGATACTCGCTGTTCCCACCTCAAGTTTTTGAACAAGCCGTCCGCGATCTCTGCTCAAACGAGGCACGGTTAGTGGCAGACACAAAGAGAAATAATAGAAAGCAAATGGTGACGGAAAATAGGTAAAATTGGCTAAATGTATTTTCATTTGAGCATATTTTGACTGCCTTAAAGTAGCAATATGTAAGATTTTCATGTCATCATTAAAGGGCTCTAATCTGTCGAAAGGCTTTAATAAATCATGTTTTTTCCCAATATTTCTTTATCTGATAATAGTAGTTCAGAGATATTTGAATTTCAATATTATTACTAAATCTTGTTTTTAATTTTGATGTCCCGCCCTCCACTGTTTTACCTATCAAAAAGTCTGTGATCTGGGTTGCCAGAACTCATCGCATCAAGGTAATCTCACTGGTAAAGTACCATGTGGCCGCAGATCAAAAAAAGGTTTGTCATGATTCTGAAATCATTAATGACAAAAACAAGGAATTAAACATGGATTTCTATTGAGGCCCTAACCCTAACGCTTTGTATTGGTTATAGATTTGTTGTTGACAAAACTCTTGTCTATTCAGCTATAATGGTCCCAGCTGGATTCGTCTGCATATCTGGCAACCTGAGTCAGGGAGAGTGGGAGAGGCTGCAGTACCACTTTTGGCCAGATTTTTACATATTGCTCCTTTAACCTTTTCTTGAATACCCCAATGTGCATTTTTTTCTTGTTTTGATTTTCTAAGATGTAGGAGCACAAATGACACATTAGTTTTAGTTGGTGTGTGTGTTTTTCAATGATAGGCCTCAATACCAAATGGTTGAGCTGCAGTTTGATGTAAAAGTGCCTAAAAGCAAGTGATAGAGACGCCCAAATTAGGTAGATTTCAGTTCCAAGCTTCAAGTAGATTTAGTGACTCAAAAAGTGATCCACCAAATAGTTGAGGAAACCATTAAGATTTGCCAATGGGAAAAAAGCAAAATAATCTTGTTTTAAAAAGACACAAGAAATGTCTCCCTTGTAATGAGAAAACAGTTTTAGGAATGAGACCAAATTGCTTTGTCCTGTTGGCAAATCTTGTTTTTACACAGTCAGAATGTGCTCAAATTTAAGATAAAAACCATTTGTTTCAAACATTTATGACCTTATATACAGTATATATTATATAATTATTGGCAGTGTACAGATTGATGGCCTACTTTGTTCTCTTGTGTATCCTTCTCTGACGGCCAGCAGCATGGGAGCGTCCGTGGTGCAGAGGTACATGGACAGCCTGTATCTTACGCCGTCTTGAAAGTCCTCTGCACGGAACAAACATTCAGCGGCAGTTGGAACACAGTTTGATTTCACATGAATGATTAAGAGCAGGGGTGTTAAACTAAAGCCTAATGTTTTGTGCAATTATGCATAATAATGATGACGTTTTTCAAAATGCTGTGTCGAGCCGGGACACAGTGGGAAAGGTTGGATAGATAGATAGATAGATAGATAGATAGATAGATAGATAGATAATGTAGATAGATAGATAGATGGATGTTCAAAAAGTAGCTGACAATAGCATTAAAATGCAGCAGAACATCAGGTCATAGCCGCAGAGGAAGAGTATAGAAGAGGGGTAGCTTGGTTGGGACCATTTTCTCTGCTCTGGTCCAAAGGAAAATGCTGAATGCTTTGTTAGCAATTTTCAAACATTTAGCATTCCTCCTGTGGATTTCTGCTTGATCCGCTTGGTTCGGACCATGAATCCGCTCCGCTCCGGTCTGGACCAGTGTAAAACCATGAACACTGTACTGCAGCAACATCTCAGGCAGAAAAAAGGCAAGAAAATAAACAATTGTAAAACACAAAACAACAACTGTTTCAGAGCGACTTAGGAAAAAAAGTAAAGGTTGCCATGTTGTTTGGGCCTGCGTCTGCTTTTCTACACGGGCAAGACAAGAGCAATGTCTTCGGAGTTTCGGTTTGTTAGATTTGTCTGTTCGAGCCTCTCCAGATTGAAATGAAAGACACAAAAAAATATTTGAATGAAATTGGACATAAAGCTGTGGCAAAAGGCCCATAGTGAACTTTTCCACTCAGCTCTACCAAGTCCAACTATGCCTGCATTGAACTGGAAGGGAGGGGCGAGAGGAAAGGGAAGGAGAGCAGGGCGAGGGGAAGACAAGAGATTGCCCAGACTCATAAATCACCTGATGGCCACATTAGACAAACAAGGAACACATGTTATCCATCTTCCACTACGCATCAGGGTCCATGTATTTTATTCAAGTAACCTGGGTCTGCAGATGGAAACTAGCTGTTTTGCTACAACATGGTGCAGAACAGAATCTGTCTTTGAGCTTAATGTCTCTGTACATTGTCCCTTTAAATAAAGACTGAACTACACTAGGGTCAAGCAAGATATAAAAAATGAATCTGAATCTGAGTGTTACTGGCAAAACGTCCAAGTCGCAAGGCGGATTAAATGGTTTTTTGACCGACTCAGTCTCCATCTGCCTCATCCACACAAAACAATCACCGAACGATGGGCCTGTCTCCACCGGCCCTTCTCTACTCTTTAAAGTTTTCTGCACGGAACAAACATTCAGAGACAATTGGAACACAGGATAATTCCATATGAATGATAAAGAGTAGGGGTGTTCCAATTAAAGCCTACTGTTTAGTGCAATTATACATAATAATGATAGTTGTATGAATTCAATGCATGATTAAGGGCATTTTTTGTGGAAAAGGTTGGAGGGATAAAAAGGTTTTTTGACCGCCTCAGTCTCCATCAATCACTCAGCTCTTCTCATCCTGGTTGTGTTTCCATCATCCTTAGAGTTTTTTCCCATTGCATGAACACAGAACATAATTTATCATTGTTCGTGAGTCAAAATAAGTCCTAAAACTCTTCTCTGACAACTCAACCACAATCTACATACACATAAATTAGCCGCATCGCTATATAAGCTGCAGGGATCCAAAAAAAAGACAAAAGTAGCTACTCCCTCACCATTCCCATGAATGCACTACATGGCCAGCATTGGTTAGACCCCCGGTGCACCTGGAGGATAACATACTTGAGTGGATGACAGCACTAGTTGTATTGGGAGGTAGTTTGAGCCAATCCACACTGCAGTCTCCGGACACGGGACACCAATCCAAAATGTAGCCACATGTTTCGTTCAATGCGTCCGTCCAAGACAAGTTGAAGCCTCCAGCGACGCCTTGAATCCTCCAACTGTCCCATTGTGGGGATTCTAACAACACAAAACATACATTACCTTTGCAGAACACAACAATAATACATGGGTGATGGATGTATTCAAATTATTCTATGATCAGTCAATTCCAGAATATCAAGTTGTATTATGATATCCACAGGCTTAGAATTATCATTAACAAAATCAATTCAATTTCTTCCAAATAATTTCTATTGAATAAACCATGTGTATTCAGCTTTCCTGTCTGATGATTGTGTACATTAGGAGGTCAAATATCTTTTATTTAAGTCAAATTTGATATTTATTGATTATTCTTTTGTCTTCATCTCTTGTCCTGAAAATATGACTGCTCCAGAGCTCCCTCTATTGAGCAGTTTTGGAAGTGGGCCAAAATAGTGTTTGACTTTGTTGATGGTTAACATCTATGAGTGACAAGAGCTGCCTCCAAAATATGAATCAAATAGAAGGAAATCTGAGGCGGGTAAATTTTTCAAACTCCACCCTGTTCCAACCATAACTTCTTCAGATAATATATAGCAAGAACATTCAAACTTTTGTAGTGACTGTGCTGTAGGGTTAGGGTTAAATATTTGATAAGTTAGGCCAAGATTAACTCTCTAGGGAAGTAATGTACAATCCTGACTAAGCCTAACCCTAAAAAACTGTGTGTTGCTTAAGCTCAACTAAGTCTAGCGATAGTACTTCTGAGTAAAAAAGGGTCAATAATAAGGATGTGGAGTAGTTAGGTAATAAGAAATTAAGTTGTTGAAAATCTGCAACGAGTTCCTGGAAAGGGTTTAAACAAAACTCAAAACATTTCAGGCAGTATTAGTTTTCCTACAAATTGAAAACTCTAAGTAACACTAAGTTAGAACCGTAATGAAAAAATCACCCACTTAAATATTATCAGATACCTGGAGATTGAGGAGGTGCAATCATCTGAGCCGGGAGAGAGCTTCCATAGGCATTCACGGCCGTCACAAATATAACATACTTTTGAAATGGACTTAGGTTTAGTGCGACGCTAGTTTTGGGATGAACAATACACAGTGTCTTCTTTGGTTCTGTCATCTCTGAATCCACCCATTCCACTTCATAGTGAGTGATTTTTCTATGGCTTTGGTCGTCCTCCAGCAGCTGCAGATGTGAGACCATAACAGACACCATGTAGACCAGAGATGTCAGAGTTAAATACACCAGAAGCCAAAAAACAATTTGCTACAAGCCGAGGGTCAGACAGGTTCAATGTTTGTTAAAGCACATTCAAATTAACATATTTAACCAAGACCTAACACAGCGTACTGTATTTTGATTATTAAATCATTCATCCATTATCATCTATGGTTCTGAAGGAAGTTTGTTTTTTTCTTTGAGCTGTTGGAAAATGTTTTTACTTGAAATGACCGACAAAGAGAATACATGTAATGAACATTAAATGAATAATATATTAACTTATGTCTATGTACGTCTGGTTCTAATACTAATCAAATATCATCCCGGAAGCCAAGATACTTAATTTGCGGGCCTTGACTTGCTGTAGACAATATAATAATAATAATACACCAGGGCAATACATACAGACCAGTCGAGGGGAGAGCACTCGTATAATTATCCAGTGTGAGATCGTTAAAGTTTTTTTTTTATCTTACGTATTCCTGGAGATCCTCAGACAGATGTGGTACTTACTTTCCACTTGATATGAGTTATGTTTCCCTCTCTGTGCGTCCACACGTCCAGGGCGTCAGGGACTAGTGGACAGAAATAATGCATAATTACAGACATTATAATTCACAGATCGATGGATTTGGGTTTTCTGTGACAATTGGCAATCATTTTTTGTGTAGCCCTGAATCACAACAGTGGTTATCTTGAGGGACATAACAAAGCTGTAGATTCGGCAACACAGATCAGAGACACCAGCCAAATCAAATCAGAGAATCCAGATTTCCATATATGTCATTGAATTTTGAGTATTTTTTAATAAACAGTCATAGTAGAGGGCAGTTTAAAAATGTTTCCTGGTAACTATTGTAAGAAGTCAAACTCTCGGTTTAAACCAATATCTCTAACTCCTGGAACAATCCACATGAGACAAAAAACGTAGTTTCCTCACGTTGCAATCATAAAGAGGTCCACTGTGTTTGCAGCTGGTCATTTTCAAATTTTGAAAAAAAAAGAAACCTTACTCTACACCTCCCTCTGGATAGGGACTACTACATTGTAGTGAAGAGGAGTGCACTGACCACTATATTGGAGAAACCAAACAAACTCTACAGAAACGACTTTACCAACATCGTAGAGAAAACTCTAGTGGGCCACGGTCGGCTGTTCATCTCCACCTCAAGGCCTCCAACCACACGGTGGATGACACAGAGGTTAAAATTCTGGCTCGGGAGAAGAATTGGTTTGAGAGAGGAGTGAAAGAAGCTATTTTTGTGAGGAAACAGAAACCTTCTCTTAACAGAGGAGGAGGGTTAAGATTTGTTTTGCCTCGCATCTATGACGACATCCTAAAAACAACGCCCTAACTTGGGACAAGGTCAGTGACATGCTAATGAGTTAGGAGGGGTGAAACCTGCACTCCACTTGAGCATCCCAGCAGACAATAGGTCTGTGACATGCTAATGAGTTAGGGTCGTTAGCCTCAGCAGGGTCGTTAGACCTGCTCCCTTCTACATCAAGCAGACCTGAGATTGTTTACGAGTTAGTATCAGGGTTAGGGTGTGGCTTACCACACCCATAGGTTATAAATCTCCAACGCGCGGTCCGAGAATTCATTCCCTGAAGAAGTCCCCAGGTTGAGGACGAAACGTCGGGAAAACTTGCTAAGAAGTACAGATGATGGGTGAGAAACCTTCCTTTGCGTTGTACAAAAATGTATTAAAATGAATGCATTTTTCTCCATATATTTTCTACCGGATGAATTAAATACCATTTTAAAACATTTCAACGGCAAACAATAGTGAGTGTTATTTCTTCTCAATCTAGACGTATTGGTCAGTCACTAAATGGAACATATGATAATAGTCAAAGTACTTCACTCTGCACTTACTGTCCCCCTCGGTGTGAAAAGAAGCTGTTTGGCTCCAATCGCCCCATTTCCAAAAATTGGACTCTGACGCACATCGTACCTTAACAGAGTACGGTCGATTTGGCGAAAGGCTGGTTATTACCACCGACGTGAGACCGAAGCCGCTCTTTTCCACCTGTCACAGAGACGCACAGACTTTGAGAGGGAAAGTCACTCTGGGAAAACCTTTCTTCTTTCTCAGACGTACTTGGATCGCGACTGTTTCTTTGGTGACATGGATTTGACAAGTGAGAGGGAGGCGCTGATACTGCTGAACGCTCCAAAACCACCTCAAAGTCACATTCTTTGCATTTACAGAAGAAATGTTCAGACGCTGGGGTGCATACATGCGCACTGAAAGAAAGTTGATCAGGATTAACAAGAGGAATGACGGGAAAAATCTAATAGATGGGGAAAATTATGATATGGGGAAGTAATATACAATACTGTCTCTTTTTTTTTGAGTGAGATCTTCACAGGCAGTGCATTCTGGGAATCTGCAACACCTGCCTGGAAAGGATTAACACTAGGAATCTGAGAAATGGGAAAGTACTACAACTCCCAGTGCAGTCACTTTCAATAGATTTTTGAAAAAATCCTCCAAAAAGTTTGAGAGGTCCGTTTTTCCTCTTTACTCACTTTTGATTTAAATCTGCTGAATCCTGGTTTACTGCATAACTTTAAACCCTTGAAATAATGAGAAATACTGTTTTCTGAAAGGCTAAATGCTAACTTCTGACAGTAAACCGTGTGTTCTATGGAAACCAGACCCTTGTTCTTCTATGGTGAAACCAATCTCTCTTCAGAACCAGTGGAGGACCAGCCCCTTGGAGTCAAAGGGACTGCTCTGAGAGATTCATGTAGAATTTTACTTATATCTTCTAAGTGTAGTTTGTTAACGAAACAAACTATACTTAGAAACAGAAAAGCCAAAAAGTTAGGGAGATAAAAAATTTACCTAAGCTGAGTAATTATGCTTGCAAATATGTACCCGTCAAAAGGACTGCTCTAAAATCGTACCTATCTGATAAAAGAGAGCGTCCTGTGATACCTCTCTTTGTCAGATCTGCTTCATCCACAAGTCGGATGGTGCCCAGGACATTTTGTGCTACTAGCGTCCAGTTCTTCTCTCCCTGGTCGACTCGAACCTTCTGAGAACATTTTCCACTGGTCTGACGGCTGCACGACCTAGAAATGTGCATCAAGATCATGTTGAAGGTTCTATTTTCACCCACAATAATATTTACAGATACTTTTGTGCGTAACTGTTCAAGCAGCCAGTAGTCAGTCGGCTTGTAGAAGATCTGATGACCCACTGTCCAAAAGCACTCCGCCGATGAGAAGTCTCGAGTTTCACATTTGAGGTCCCTGTCCGTGGGTCGGTCTTCATAGATTTTCTCATGTTAAAGTTTGGACTGTTGTGTTGAATGATTGACATGTTCTGCAGTGGTACTCACAGCCAATCACTGCGAGGGCGCCGTTCTCATCTACTCCCTCGGCCCTGCATACGACCTCAGCGTCAGAGATTGGTGTAGGCCACCGCAGGTCCAGGGTCAGGGCGTAGGTGTGGGGGCGGAGCGTGGAGACGGGGCGGGGGCCGTCTACGTAGTTCCTCACGGTCATTTCTTTGAAGGGTTTTGTCGTGGGGACGATGCAGCAGAAGGTCACTCGGCTGCCCACCTCGAACACGCTGTCCTGGGGAAACACCTGGATCTCCGCTGTGGGCTCCAGACCTGGGTGAGGAGCGGGAAAGATCAGTGGATAAAGTCAAAGTCAAATTTATTTCTATAGCACATTAACGTCAACAAACGCTGCCCAAATTGCTGCACAGTAAAATACAAATACAAAAAAGGCTATGGTAAACACAGATTAACAAATATTACAACAGTGACACAGGTTTTTGTTGACAAAGGCCAGAGAAAAAAGAAAATATTTAAAAACATAGTTCATAGTTCAACATTCAAATTGACATGGGAAGGCTGTTCCAGAGTTTGGGAGCAGCTACTGAGAAGGCCTGGTCACCGGTCGTAGATTGATTTAATCTCTGATCTGTTGTCGGTGGATAAAGCAGGCATCACCTATTTCCAAAGAGCCTAAAGCAGGGGCCTCCAACCATTTTCAATCAGAGAGCTACTTTTATTCAATAGAAGAGGCAGAGAGCTTGTCCTTTTTGTAATAATTATGACAAAACATGGAGAAAACATGTAAATGACTCAAAGCGTATTCATTCAAGACTATGTGTTAAATTCTAAATCCTTTGGGGAGCTACCTGAAAGGGGCTAGCGAGCTACTGAGGGCAGCTGAAGAAATCTCTCCTGGCCACAATGGCACCAAAAAGTCTTGTTTAGGGCTTAAGTCCAGTCCAGTCCAGTTTATTTATAAAGCACTAATAAAAACAAAAAGGTTGACCAAAGTGCTGTGCATAAAAAGACATATAAAATTACACAATTAGAAAATGCTAAACTGTGGCAAAAAAACACATTACTTACAGCAACAACAACAAAATTCAAAATCAATTAAAAGCCAATGAGAACAAGTGAGTCTTTAGACGAGACTTAAAAACAGGAAGTGAATCAGACAGTCCAACACACAGGGGCAGCTCATTCCATAATTTAGGACCATCAACCGAAAAAGCTCGATCTCCTCTGAGTTTCTGTTTAGTCGGAGGAACCCAGAGCAGAACCTGATCTGACCTGAGAGAACGTGATGGAGCGTATGACGTCAGTAGGTCAGACAGATAACACAGAGCAAGGCTATTCAGGCATTTATAGACAAACAAAAGGACTTTAAAATCAATCCAGTAGCGAACAGGAAGCCAATGAAGGGGTGACAGGACTGGAGAGATATGCTCATACTTCCCAGTTCCTGTTAAAGGCGCTATACCCGTTTCTACAATGTTTGAATGTTTAGCACCGCCCCCCAACTCGCTCACAGGCTTCTCATTTCCCCTACGCTCTCATAACACAGAGCCACCTAGTTTTATTTGCGATCTGATACGTATGCTAACATTAGCATTAGCGCAACTTCTTGTAAGCTGTACAACAATCACTGATGAAATGGCACTAAAGCAACGCACTGCTAACACAATATATAAGTAAAAGAATACCGCTAGTTTCGCGTCCGAATGTATTAATTTAAAACCTTAGAATATATTCTAATATTTAATTATAATTTGTTATAGAGCTCCTCAAAGCAGCAGCACTCCATTGACTTGAATGCAATTCTTCCGATCATTTTTTCTTGATAACAGAACTCTCAAACCAATAATGACCGCAGCCCCAATGCAATCTCTGTTTGTAATTCAGGTGTGTAAAATGCTGCCATTACTCTGCAAGAACAAGAAGCTTTCAGCGCCTGTCACTACACACTTGCCTGTGTAGAGAAGCTAGCGGAGCTAGCCACGCTCAATAAACAACTACATATCTATCAATCAACACCATTAAACGTCAATCGGACAATACAGTATACATATACATCCTTAACACACATGCACGGATGATTTCAGAATTTGCTGTTAACGTTTTCATGACAAAAATACTGTTTCAATGTGACAAAAAGCGATTGCGAAAAACCCGGAAGTTACCATGAAACAACTAGCTAGCTTAGCTGTTACCTGCCTAGCACGTCCCGGTGAAACCTTTGGGAGCTAACTATTTTATTTGCAGTCATTAAATACATTTCGAATTACAAGGGTTGTCTAATATTTGTTCACATTTTTTTATTCAATTATTTTGTTCATCATTTTTTATTTTAGAATTATATTCGAATTTTGAAGTCGAAGCCCTTGTGTTAAGCAGCGCTGTAGGGGCTAGAGGACGCAGGCTGTTCGCTGCTCGTTCTGTGAGCGGAGGAGAAAGAGCGGCCCGCTCAGACTCTACTCAGCACTTTTCACTGCTTGTAATTCTTACACAGCTGAATCAATTACCTAAAGTTTTCAATTAAATGATGTATTATGATACAACTTGTATGTAGTAAAAAGCATTTTTATGAACTACTTAGAAAAAAAATCGGGTATAGCTTCTTTAACAAACACACCGCAGCGATCTATTCTGGCTGCAGACGAGCAGGTAAGGACTGGCTGATACCTGTGTATAAGGCCTTACAATAGTCCAGCCGAGTCGAAACAAAAGCATGAATCAAAATTTCAAAATTTCGCCTTGAAAGTGAGGACTTTATTTTAGCAAGTTGCCTTAAATGGAAGAAACTATACTTCACTACTGCACTTTTTTGCTAATCAAATTTACAATCAGCCTCCATTTTCACCCCAAGGTTTGAAACAATGGGCTTAACAAATTGTGTTTGAGGTCCTAGGTTCACGGAGCTACTGCTGCCATTGCTGTGCCCGACCAGCAGATTTCACCTTCATTGATTTCAGAAATGCACTCCAGAAGTTTGGTGCTGCCAAAGTTATTGTTACGCTTAAGGGGCACATAGATTTGGCTGTCATCTGCGTACAGGTGGAATGACACCCCAAACCTCCGAAGAATAGCTCCTAATGGCAACAAATACAATGTAAACAGGAGTGGACCAAGTATAGAACCTTGCGGCACCCCACACGACAAGGGGGCTGTGGAGGAAACAAAGTCACCAACTCTCACACAGAAACTCCTCTCTCTCAGATACTGTAAATCGGAACCATTCCAGAGCATAGTCCTGAATGTTTCCTGAGTGTTCAAGGCGACACAAGCGGGTTTCATAATCCACTGTGTCGAATGCGGCGGTCAGGTCCAGCAGCACCAACGCTACCGTGTGGCCAGAGTCAGTGCACATCTGGATATCGTTTTAAACTCGTAACAATGGTTAAGGTACACTTTATGTATCCCTTAGGGCAATTTGTCCTCTGCATTTGACCCATCCTGCAAAATCTCTCGGGCCTCTGTCAGGGGCAGTAGTCGCCGTAGTACACCATCCGTGGACCTGTCTCCAGATTTGAGGATCAGAGCAAAATTTAACCTATTTTGCATGTTTTTAGTGGTAAGGTATGCCACTGTGACCCCCAAGCTAATTTAAAGAACATGAATTAAACAACTGCCAAATTGCTATTTAATCCTATATTGGTCGATATATAATGTTTGTTATTATTGCATTTCTTGTGCGTGTCCCGCAATATATATTTTTGGACCAGTCTAATTTAGCCGCTGTGGACTTTTGAATGCACTTTTAAAAACTACTGCGCAGTCCCCTGTTACCTGGCAGAGTCTCCGTTATCCAGTCACTGCTCAGCTCTCCACATTTGGACCTGATCTGGATCGAATGTGTAGCGCACTCTAGTGGCACGGAGGACGTCCATCTCCACGAGTGACCGGAGCCCGCGTGGTCAGCCGCTCGCACCGCTCCCTGGGCAGCGGACAAACAGATCAGGGGTTAGTGTGTGTGTGTGTGTAGCTTCCTCTGGCTACGTGCAGCTCCTTCACACAGATGTATTTTATTACATGGTGCACGTGTCTGCTCTCCAGGAGCACCTCCAACTCAAACATCAAGTTTTTCTGGGACAAACAGGAGGGCGGGCTGTCCCATGTCAACTCCAGGTCCTGGTTCACGCTACTTAGCTGTATATTCTGTGGTTCACATTGTAGAGCGCCTGCAGGAATAATCAGTGTTTAGTGATTGTGTCTATTTTCAATATGATCACAAAAATTTTGAGCGACACTCACAGTTTTTATTTCCTTCCCCATGCTTCGCAAAAACTAAAAATATGGCTATCATCCGTGGAATGTGTGGAATGTGAGTCATAGTTTAACTTTGTGTTATCTGATGAGAGAAAGTTTTGTCAAAACACCACAAAACATATCTAAATCTTTTTAAAAAGTGTACAAGAGTAAAAAAACAGGCATACAAAAGTGACAGTTTCAGTTTCAGTTTAGTTTATTTGAAAGGGGACAATGCAATTTAATAAAACACATGATAAAACATGGGTTAGTAAAGAAGAAGAAAAAAATGAAGCGGCAACAAAACAGAAATACAGATATTGAGACAACATGAAGTCAGTAATCAAAGTCATCACCACCAACAATATGTTTTACAACTTCTAAAGAGTACTCACAGAAAGTTTGTGGAATGTGAGGATGTCTGCTCCTCACGGTCGACATAGTAAAAGTTCTTTCATGACTTTTATGAACTCTCCCAAAAAGCAGGAACAGCACACCTCCTAAAATATTGGCAAGTGTTAGTGAAAAAACGGGAAGTACGTGCTGCTTCTCGTAAGAGTAACAGGATCGCCCGCCCCCACACACACACACACACACACACACACAAATGCACACTTGTATATACACCCCCCCCCCCACACACACACACACACAATCTCAGCAGGATCCTTCTGCTGAGAGAAAAAAAAGTGGATCAAGTCAGTTTCACTATTGTGTTTGCAATGTATTGCACTCTGTGTTTGTAAGAAATTAAAGTGTTTTCTTTCTGTTCATTAATGGATCGTTAATAAGAGTTTATGTGCAATTATATCAAGACTGAACTCGTTATTACAGTTCAATTCAATCCAATCACATTTAGTCTTGTACAGCCCTAAATCCCAGCAGTAGTTATCGCAGAGGACTTTATTCAACCGTTGAATTCCCCAACACAGATCAGAGAATCAAACAGTTCAAACACATTGGTATTGGCCCAAAGGGGCACATGATCAATGTCCATCAGTGTTGATAAATGTCTGGAGAAAATGACAAATGTCTGAGATTGGGTCTTTCAGACAGAAGACATGTTTTATTGTCGACGTTAGACGAGCACCAACAGACATTCACACGATGCAAGTGATCCGTCCAATCAGCATTCGCCACGATCAGAATTTGCCACGATGCCAGTGGCTTTGGCCTTGAGATAACCAGAACGTGTAGTGGAAAAGTACTGCTTTGTGCATTGTTAGAATGATGAGTTTAACTTTAACCTCAGTTGCTTCAAAGTGTCATGAAATCTCCAAATGTCGTGTGTTGTTCAAGCGCTGTTGAATGTTGAGTTTCCTGAAGCATCCCCACTGTTCTTCTAGAGCCCGTTTATACAGTGGCGCTGCGTCAATAAAACATTCGAGTTGGTACGAAAGGTTTGGCCTTTTGTTTACATGAAGTGTTTCAGGTGAAAGCGTTGATAAACAGCCTCGAGAGTGGAAAGAACAGAGACGCTGAATTCTCTGCTGCTCTGACCTCAGCACTTCCCCCACATACATCTGGACATGCACAGTAGCCAAGAACGTGTGCTTCGAGCGCTACACTGAGGGGAATTCTACTTCTTCATCCAAACAAAACCATGCAAAGCTCTGGTTTCAGTTCTCATTTTCACTGCTGCTGTGATTTGAGGAATGCAGGATGCTGTTGAGGAAGTTGTTCTACTGGTGGGGGTCACGCTTTTCGTGTTATAAAGTTACACTGCCCCCTCCTGGCCGGGCGCTAGAACGAAATTGTTTTCTGTTGCCGTATTGACGCTGTGCACTTCAAATAAGGAGACTGGTCATTTTTGCTAATTGCTTTAACAAAGACAATTTGAGAATCACACAGATGTTTACTAAATAAAAGCTCAACCCTTGACCTCGATGTTGAATCTTCACTTCAGCAAATCATGTTTAAGAATATCTGAAATCTCTGTGGAGGAAAGATTTTCTAAATAGGTGGGCAAAGGTCTACCAGTTCAAATGGGCCCTGGTGCTGATAATAACAGTGTTGATGGTACCGGTGCTGATGATACTGGTTACTGATGATACTAGTGCTGATGAAACTGGTGTTGATGGTTCTGGTGCTAATGGTGTGTTGTGTGCAGGAGTGATGCCCAAACACGGTCTGGACGTTGGAGCCTGTGAGGTGTTCCGCTTCTACAAACTCATCCCACTGAAAGGACTGATAGAACCCATCTCCATGATTGTGCCCAGGAGGGTGTGTACTGCTCACACACACACACACACACACACACACACACACACACACACAAACACGCAGGCACAGCTGCAAATCTACCAAGACACAGCCATCTGCCCAGACTGCTGAACAAGGACAGTCACTGATCACGGATGCAGACATGAGGCCAATGGTTACTGCAGACATCCACAGCTCACCTGGGGGAGTCTGTACATATTAGTCAAACATGGTTGAGTGGTGAATAGAAAATCAGTGTTGAGAAAAGCCACAAAGGCGTAGGACCCACTAGACATGTGGAAGAAGTTTCTGTGTCAGATGAGACCAAAATGAAAAGTTTTGACCTAAAAGCAAAACAATGAGTATGGTGTACAACTAACACAGCTCATCACTCACACCATCCCCATTGTCAGCATGGAGGTGGCAGCATCAGGGCCTACTTTTCATCAGGGAAGAGTTGATGGGAAAGTGAATAAAGGCATTTCATTCAATGGAATGGTTTGAAAGGATATATATTCATGTGTTGGGTTGGCCTGGTTCACCCCTGAGATCCAATCCAGAAACTTTTATCTAGAAACATCACAAATGCTAATGTGAGAGATTTCTAGCCAAATGTATGGTCACAAGAGATGGGCTTTATACTTCATCAAGACATATCCCAAAAAGAGGCTTAGGTTAGGGTCAGTAATTTAAGCAGAGGGGATGAATACTTTTACAAGCCACTCGTTGCAGTTTCTATTTTAAAAAGGTCATGTGTCTTTTTGCTTCCATTTCACATTTTTGTGTGAACCACTTTGTATTGGCCGTTCACAATAAAACCAACACAATATGGATCTCGATCTTTGTAAAAAAAAAAAAAAAAAAAAAAAAAGAAGCAAGAAGAAATATTTTGTTATTGAAAAGCATGATATACAGTGCCTTGCGAAAGTATTCGGCCCCCTTGAACCTTTCAACATTTTGCCACATTTCAGTCTTCAAACATAAAGATATAAAATTTTAATTTTTTGTCATGAATCAACAACAAGTGGGACACAATCGTGAAGTGGAACAAAATTTATTGGATAATTTAAACTTTTAAAAAAAATAAAAAACTGAAAAGTGGGGCGTGCAATATTATTCGGCCCCTTTACTTTCAGTGCAGCAAACTCACTCCAGAAGTTCAGTGAGGATCTTTGAATGATCCAATGTTGTCCTAAATGACTGATGATGATAAATAGAATGCACCTGTGTGTAATCCAGTCTCCGTATAAATGCACCTGCTCTTTGATAGTCTCAGGGTTCTGTTTAAAGCGCAGAGAGAACCATGAAGACAAAGGAACACACCAGGCAGGTCCGAGATACTGTTGTGGAGAAGTTTAAAGCCGAATTTGGATACAAAAAGATTTCCCAAGCTTTAAACATCTCAAGGAGCACTGTGCAAGCAGTTATATTGAAATGGAAGGAGTATCAGACCACTGCAAATCTACCAAGGCCCGGCCGTCCCTCCAAACTTTCATCTCAAACAAGGAGAAGACTGATCAGAGATGCAGCCAAGAGGCCCATGATCACTCTGGATGAACTGCAGATAACTGCAGCTGAGGTGGAAGAGTCTGTCCATAGGACAACAATCAGTCGTGCACTGCACAAATCTGGCCTTTATGGAAGAGTGGCCATTTCTCAAAGATAGCCAATAAAAGTCTCTTAAAGTTTGCCACAAGCCACCTGGGAGACACACCAAACATGTGGAAGAAGGTGCTCTAGTCAGATGAAACCAAAATCAAACTTTTTGGCCACAATGCAAAACGATATGTTTGGCGTAAAAGCAACACAGCTCATCACCCTGAACACACCATCCCAACCTCAGCTGTAGTTATCTGCAGTTCATCCAGAGTGATCATGGACCTCTTGGTTGCATCTCTGATCAGTCTTCTCCTTGTTTGAGATGAAAGTTTGGAGGGCCGGGTCTTGGTAGATTTGCAGTGGTCTGATACTCCTTCCATTTCAATATAATTGCTTGCACAGTGCTCCTTGAGATGTTTAAAGCTTGGGAAATCTTTTTGTATCCAAATCCGGCTTTAAACTTCTCCACAACAGTATCTCGGACCTGCCTGGTGTGTTCCTTTGTCTTCATGGTTCTCTCTGCGCTTTAAACAGAACCCTGAGACTATCAAAGAGCAGGTGCATTTATACGGAGACTTGATTACACACAGGTGCATTCTATTTATCATCATCAGTCATTTAGGACAACATTGGATCATTCAAAGATCCTCACTGAACTTCTGGACTGAGTTTGCTGCACTGAAAGTAAAGGGGCCGAATAATATTGCACACCCCACTTTTCAGTTTTTTATTTGTTAAAAAAGTTTAAATTATCCAATAAATGTCATTCAACTTCACGATTGTGTCCCACTTGTTGTTGATTCATGACAAAAAATTTAAATTGTATATCTTTATGTTTGAAGCCTGAAATGTGGCAAAATGTTGAAAGGTTCAAGGGGGCCGAATACTTTCGCAAGGCACTGTATCTGGCCCACAGTGACAGTGTGATAATACAGTGAATGTGCTTGTGCAGTCGGACACGTATCAGGAGGACATCTACCCTATGACAGCGGGCACAGAGCCGGCGATGTCTGCAGCGGAGTGGCTCAGCGGCATCAATCGAGGTGAGCACCGTCACATAGAGCAGTCACATGTGTTTGACCACCGTTACACACACACACACTGAAGATGATGAAGAGAAACGGTGAGAGGACAGTGCCCTGAGGAGCCCCGGTACTGCAGACCACCACCTCAGACTCACAGCTGCGCAGCCGCACGTACTGTGGTCAGTCCGAGAGGTAGTCGATAATCCATACAGTAGCCAATCCATATAGTGTAAGGATTATAGTGTCATTCCGATCGATCACTTTGACGCCAATGGAAAATAATTTATAGCAGCTTTATGGAAGTCACACATCACCACAAGCCACAAAACATCACATAAAACAAAAAATGTATTAAAAAGAGTAGTATGAAGCTGCTAGAACCACAACAACAGTGGGAAAAGTCACGATACCCATATCTGATGCAGGAATTAATTTCAAAATGAAGAAAATCCAGATCCCTTGCAAAATGAACTCTCACTTCTTCGCCTACCTTAAAGTGCTGTACCCTATTAGCCCTCTATTTTCACAACTGTAAAATCATGTGTGGATTGAATCTAATGATGTATTGTTCACTGGAGATAAAGGGCTTGTCTCTGATAAGCTTCCTGAATGACTTTTCTTGGTGCCGGGAAAGAGAAAGTCGTGGGATGTGGGCACAAATAAACGTCTTCCTTTAAAGCCAAAAGTGTGTTCCCCTGTATCCCCTCACACAGCTTTGTGTGTGTTTTGAGGACATGTAGAGAAGTGGACTGAGCCTCACTGAACCTCGATTGGGGGATTACAATACAATACAATGTATTCTTGTATAGCCCTAAATCACAGCAGAAGTCATCTCAGAGGACTCAGAGAATCAACAGTTAAAACACAAAAAGAATATAGAACACATGTTAAAAAATGTCCATACATGTTGTAGAATGTTAAAGTGTCCTGGATCATCATCACAGTCCTTCTAGTTGGACACTAACTGTCCAACAGACCCTCCTGCATCGGCAAGGAAAAACTCATAAGAATAACCCAGTGGGAAAAAAGTGAGAAACCTCGGAGAGACCCATAGTTTGAGAAAGGGATCCACTCCCACGGACGGACGGGCTATAGATCGAGGACCTAAGCTACAGAACGTGGACCAGTGGCCGTTGAATGTGAACAGGTCCGGTGCAGGAATGCATTGGATTGTATTACGAATCCAGCTCCAGGGGTCTCTGAAGTTTTTCAGTCAGAGAAGTACTGAATATCCAAACTAAATTTTCCCCACTCATAACGAAGGACACACGCTTGAGCTCATTCTATCATTTAGAATCAATTGTGTGCATTATTTAGACCGGGTTGTCCTGTGGCTAACTCGACAGCTAATAGCTTCCAACAAAGTTTGGTTATTATTTCCATTATCAACCCGACAGGGCAGTCGGGTTGTCGACTGGTCTGTTAGCTGTCGAGTTAGCCACAGGAGGCGTCATCAGCCTACGCCTGTAAAATGACGTATGCCGCAGCTCAACTCAATAGCAAAGGTACTGCTATCACACAGTAGCAGTGTTGACTGCTTAAACCAATCTTCACACAAAACTTTGACTCTTAAAACCCACATATCACAACATGGAACCATCAACATCTCGCCTCAAATTACATTAAAAGTGACATTCATGTCTTAATTTGTTCATATTAAAACTTTTTAAACAACCCACAGACTTTATGTCCGCCATCTTGGATTGCTTCAGCTGCCGTGAAACGCTCATGCACAGGTTTGCATTACATCATAAACAGCTGAGGGAGCTCAACTCGACAGAACACCGCCAGTTGATTATCAGTGATTTAAAGTGTCTATATTATGTTGGACAGTAAATCCATTCTTGGTTTGGCGAAAAGCTCTGCTAAATGTAAATGTTTGAAAGTAAATGTTTGTAGAAATGCAAGCCAAAACATAAAGCATGTTTTCAGTTTGGTTTTTGTTTCTTCTCAAACTTCAAACTCAACTCAAAGCTTCATTAGACGCGCCCATGTAAGGAGTGTAAACAAAAATAAACTTGTTGTTGCTGTGTCCCCCCAGAACCAGTGCTGGTGTCTCTGAAGGAGGGGTACAGCCGCCCGAACCAGCTGGTGTTCAAAGCTCCACAGAAGAAGAGCGCGGTGGTGAATGGCATCGATCTGCTGGAGAATGTGCCTCCCAGGACAGAGAACGAGGTGATGCCCAAACCCCTCTGACCCTCTAGTCCTGCCCCAGGATCATGACCTCTGAGACCATTCTGCAATTACATCACACTTACTGTATGTAGTGCAAGCATCTTTGAGTGTGCTACCGTTCACACACACTCACCAGAGTCTTAGATCTTACTTTTTTTTTGTCTCCCACACACAAAATTTGTCTTGGGAAAAAGTTCCACATGCTTTGTACAAACACAATACATTTACATTCACCCAGTGGACTCCCGGACCGATAATCTCTGAATCTGCAGAGTACTTTCCGATGTTACGCAAGTGATTCATTGTCCCAGGATTCATTGCTTGATTAATTAGGATTCTTTGGAAATTGTGCGTAAAATTATACACACTGAAATTGTACGTGTAATATATAAAGTTCCTGATATACAACAAGCGAGATACAAGTTTGAGGGGGATAGTTCCTGGCATTTGTGTGGGTAAAGCAGACAGCAGTTGCAACCCTGTGTTTTGCGGAACAATTTTATATTTTGGTTGTGTGCATTTGTGTTTGCGTTTGTGTGTGTGTGTGTGTGTGTGTGTGTGTGTGTTCAGATGCTGCGGGTGTTCTTCCGGCAACAGGAGGAGCTTAGGAGGCTGAAGGACGAGCTAGCCTCTAAAGACGTCAGGATACGACAGCTAGAACTGGAGCTCAACAACCTGAAGAACGTGAGCCCTAACGGCGTCTGACCAAGTCCCCTGTCCCGGCCCCCTGTCCTGGACCCCTCAACTGGTCTCCTGTCTCAGCCTCCTCTCCTGGTCTCACATCCCAGTCCCGGTCTACTATCCTGGCCCCCTCACCTGGTCTCCTGTCTCAGCCTCCTCTCCTGGTCTCACATCCCAGTCCTAGTCTACTATCCTGGCCCTCTCACCTGGTCTCCTGTCTAGCATCGCCTTTGGGACGCGTCATCCCTGGATTTGGCACTTCAGCACAGAGAGTGAATCACCGATCGCTTCTGTGGCCTTCTCATGAGATTGAATACTCTCTATTTTCACTCGAACAAGGAGCAGAGATGAAGAGCTGCTCTACTTCTTCATCCAAGTGACAGACATTTTATCTCAACGGGTTTTAACCTGCTTAAATAAAGGTTAAAAAGTCTGTGGCCGTTCCTACAACAGAATAGGGGCAGAATTCACTTGTATAATAACTCACAGATCTATAAATAATAACTGTAAATTCTTTGCAAAGTGTATGCTAACATAAGCATAACCTTGAAATCGCAATGCCATCCAGCCTCATTCATTAGCCTTCTGCTCGGCTAATGAACACATATAATTTTTAAGCTTGAAACCTTGAGATTTCCGCATCTAGTAACAATATTTGTTCAAGCAACTTCAGATTCCACCAAATGTAAATCAATACATGAAGTTGTTAACGGCCTTATTATAGCGTATAAGCAAAAACAAACAAACAAAAACGGCCACCGGTGGAATCTAATAATAATTCTATCTGTATCCATTTTTAATCCAAATCAGTACCACCCTAAGAATGTTCTCAAAGGCCTGAAAGTCTTGTGGTGCGCTGAGAATCACAAAGGCGCCCCAACTATTCCACTGTGGCATCTGGTACCACTGACTGAGCAGGCAAAGACCCCACACTGGCAACTGGCATTACAGTGGTCTCCCATCACAGCACTGACCAGGACCAGGACAAGTAAAGAGAGTCCAAGCAAGTCATGACCTACAAACCTCTACCCACCTGCCTTCAGCTGCTGGAGCGGACTGTGATCCAGACCCGTTGGACAGTGATCCAGACCCATCGGACTGTGATCCAGACCCATCAGACTGTGATCCAAGCCCATTGGACAGTGATCCAGACCCGTTGGACTGTGATCCAAGCCCATTGGACAGTGATCCAGACCCGTTGGACAGTGATCCAAGCCCATTGGACAGTGATCCAGACCCGTTGGACCGTGATCCAAGCCCATTGGACTGTGATCCAAGCCCATTGGACAGTCTTCCAGGCCCGTTGAAACACTTCTCCATGGTTGGAACTCCACACCCGAGCAGAGAAATCCCATGGGCTCTTCCAACAAAAGACTGTCAACCTTTTGCCAGATATTGTAAGCCGCCACCTTGCCTTTCCTCTTATTTATGTGGCAATACTGAGAGACTGTGTGCTCCTCCTCTCTGCACCTCCTCCAGGCTGATCCAGAGGACACTGTTCTTCTGCCCAAGGCCTTATACTCTGCGCCGCTGTTCGCTAAAAATGGCTGACGTTCTTTCGCTTGCACCAAACGCGCTCATGGATTTAGCACCACCTTTCCCCAGCTGCTCAAGTTCTTTGTTTTCAAGTCTTGTTGGAACCCATGACGTAATAACAGCCCAAAGAAAATGTCCAAATTGTGGTGAAAATGAAAGGCCGGGGCAGGGTTAGAAACATCAGGGCACGGTCGTCCTGGAAGTTTATCTGAGTTTTCCAGAAAGAGGTTTAACAGTGCTTTTTAACATGAACGCACTGACGCAGATATGAAAAATATGATAGGGTAGATATGGTATGAACAATATTTATATGACACACAGCGCAAAAAGTGTTGTTTAATTTTCAAATTTGGCAAAATGTATCTTAATTTGATTATTCAAGATTTGCCAATAAGACAAAAGCAAAATGGTTTTTGGTTTAAAAAGATACAAAAAATATCTCTTTTGTCATGTTTTGAAAAGAACGAAGGACCCAAAATGCAGCACTGCCAAAGATATAAGAATAAAGTCACAAAATTTTAAAATAGCAAAACTCCAAACTCAAACCAAGAGGAAACAGGGACAAAAACACAATGGACCAACAACAATGGGAGAGGAGCACAGGGTTAAAAGTGGTTCTCACCCCCGCTCCTCGAGACCTACGTCACTCACATTTCCTGTTCAAATCTCCCTCTAAATGGGCGTAGCCTGGAGGACTAAAGGGGACAGGCGGGGGGTGAACGAGACTGGGCCGTTTACATACCTCAGGGCGTGGAGCTGCTGACGTAATGAGCCACTGCAGACGAAAGCGGCCTCTGCTGCGGCCAGTGTTGGTGCCAGATTCAAAATTCAAATGTAGTAATACAGGCCGCCTGCAGATGGCGCCTCACAGAAGGTTTTAGGCATAAAGTTGAACTTTCAACTAGTTTGCACCAAAGTGACAAATTTATGACCAGGATATGTACACAACACTATTGGACACTCATTTATACAGTTTATCAGCAAAAAAAAGTGGATTTGAGGGTGTGTTGTCCTTTAAATACTCACAGGGACACACAGGGACTCACAGGGACTCACAGGGACTCACAGGTGAAACAGACATGAAGTAACGCTGAACAGAACCAATACATTCAAACTAAAACCACGGAAAAGTCCAATCAAAAAGTGGACACCATGACATCTTTTGGAATAAGAAAATAAAGCAACAGATCTTGAAAAAAGTCTAAATGGTTTGTCAGAAAGTTCCCAAATTAAGATAAAAAAAACACTCGATTCAAGCAATTATTACTTCTTATTTTATCTTTTTTTTGCAGTAAACTCTGAAAGTGTAGCACTAATCTTTTAATAGTGTATCTTGTTTGTCCCAACTTTTGATTTGTGAAGGCCACCGGTCACAAACGGTTTTCCCTCGATCATTATCTGATAGTGTAGTAAGTAGTAAGTCATCTTTTTTGTAGTCCTGACTCTGAGCACCAGAAAGAGGCCAGTCCCTGTGCTCCTCAGAGTCACCAGCAGGAGGCCAGTCCCTGTGCTCCTCAGAGTCACCAGCAGGAGGCCAGTCCCTGTGCTCCTCAGAGCCCCAGCAGGAGGCCAGTCCCTGTGCTCCTCAGAGTCACCAGCAGGAGGCCAGTCCCTGTGCTCCTCAGAGCCCCAGCAGGAGGCCAGTCCCTGTGCTCCTCAGAGTCCCAGCAGGAGGCCAGTCCCTGTGCTCCTCAGAGTCACCAGCAGGAGGCCAGTCCCTGTGCTCCTCAGAGTCTGAGTTGGTTCATATTGGCACTAACATGTCACAGATGTACTTTGAAAATAATGAGACTATAGTTGGCAAATACGGGCCTAGAGAAATCATCCACCATTACATCTTTAGACCATTTTTTCAGACAGGAAGGTGAAAGAGAAAGGACCGCCCTCAATCCGCTCTCAGCCCAAAGAGTCAAATAGTGACTCACGTGGCTAAGTATGCAAAAAAACATATTTTCTAACAAAATTGAGACAGCAGGGTGTGGGCTGGTTTGTTCACAATCCTTGCAACTCTTTGTTTGTTGAACAGAATAAATTCAGGCATCTCAGCTTTAACAGACCAAAAACAAAAACATCGGCACATCAGAGCTTTTACGTCATGGAATCCAACAGGGCCATTTCCAGCTTAAAGCAGGCGGAGGACCAGCCCAGGGGCCCACGGCCATCCAGGGGCCCAAAGGTATTATGTTTAACTGTTGAAGATTTACGGGCCCAGAGTCTAAACACAAGTGTAAAGCCCTGTTTCCACCAACCCTACTCTACTCTATTCTACCTGGTTGTGTTTCCATCACACATTAGTATCTGGTTCTATGTCCTAGCAACCTACCCACAACAAACCAGTATCTGTTGAAATTCCTTGGTAGCCATGGCTTCCAGCAGCACTCATCACTGTCATCATGAGTGGCCAATCATTGTCACTTAAAATACTTTATAAGGCGAGTACAATAGAGTAGAGTAGAGTACAGTAGAGTAGAGTCTAGTAAAGTAGAGTAGTGTAGAGTACAGAAGAGTAGAGTCTAGTACAGTAGAGTAGAGTATGGACAATGGGCCTGGTGGAAACAGAGCTTGACATGACTTGAATTCAGGCACTATTAAGAAACTACATGCAATTGTAACCTATAATACAATATATATGATAAAAAAACCACTAAAAAGTCAATCTTTTAAACATTTAAATTACAAAGACAGTGTTAAATGCCTGAAAGAACAAACTCCTGAATTCAAGTCTCTGGGCATGTGTAAAAATACATTTAAAACATTTCGCTGGATTTGAAATGAGAAAAAAAAACTGTTTTTACCCATAATAATCAATAACTTTATTCTGTTTTGGTGTGAGTAAGAGCGTTCTAGAGCGTACGGTTATTTGAATGAACTTTTAATATTAGTTTTATCCGTTTTACCTCTGGGACTGGCCCGGGTTCTGACGGTCTCTCTCTTTGGGCTGGACATGCTGCTTGCTTCAGTTTCTTCTGTGAGGGCTACTTTTGACAATGCAGGAGGTGTAAAGTATTTATTTTTGTCATGTTTTTAGCTTACGACTTTGTATATTTGCTAACCCGATGTTTTTGTATTCAGATGTGAGTTCACTTTTTTGAGGCTTGCGGATTGTAGAAGACATACACTTCGGTAGATGCGACTGGTTCCTTCAAGATGTTCGCAAATAATAATATTCATATTTGAAATGAACTGAATATTGCTTTTCTGCTTTTATACTATGACTGTTTTGGAAAAGCCTGTATGGAAAGGTAGGATGGGAAATGATGTGTGTATGTACAAGTTACCCACCAAATCCAGTAAATCATTTAAATGTAAAATAATGTCTACTTTCCTTTCTATGGAAACTTGTTCACTTTAGACCTGCACTCTCTCTTTGTTGAATCAAAGTTTGGATCCAGTCATCACACAGACATTCGCCCTTTCACATCGGCTTCTCTTGTTGCTTACTTCTACAGAGCAGAGGTCGGAACTTGTTCAGCTGAGAGAACCAAAAAATAATAAATAATAAAATGTATGTGAGGATGTGTGTTTTAAAGCAAGAGCAACAGATTTAGAGAGTAATACTAGCCTCAAATCTGAAAGTCTGAGATCCAAACACAGTCATCAAAAGAGCCAGATCTGGCTCCTGAGCCGTAGGTTGCTCTGCTGTAGCCTGACTCTCACCAGACTCTTGTAGCCTCCACCAGAGGCGTTTCGCTTCAGCGCAGCGATCTGCCAGGGTCTGTCAAGAGAATTAGCCTGGTCGTACCACACCATAGTACAAATAACATTTCATACTAAGGTCTAGATTTGCTCCATTGAGCTCCGTGAACAGGTGGGAGGGGTTAACTCCTTTTGCAGATTGAAACGATTGGATCTGAGTTTACTCTGACGTATGTAATGTGCCCGAGTCTGTTGTTAGCATTTAGCATTTAGCCTAGCCATCTCCTTTGCCGCTAACGGAGCCCGTGGGGAGCACCACAATCTTGACCAGCGATTACATTTGCTAAATATTCCTCTTGCTCCGGCTTCAATTTCTTGATAGAACCAGACCGGAATACTTTACTATCGCATTCTTCGCCATTGCCAAACTACAACCTGCCCGTTCGGCGCAAACTCTTGACGTCACCGGCACCGACCTACACCACCCGCCCTCCGCGCTCTCTGAGTAGCCGGTCGAAATACGACCGATTGTAATCGCTAACCCAGGGACCAGACCCAGACGATACATGCAGTGAAATGATGATTGAGCGGAGTGTACGGATGGATAAGGCCAGGCTAGTCAAGAGTAAGGCTAGCTCTGCTTTAGTGTATGTCAAAGAAAACTTGATAGGCGCCTACATTTCACACACAATAGAATCCAAAGCTTACGTCATTTTCCTGTTTATGCTGAACATCTCAAAGAGGAAACTGACTATACTCACATTCAGTCATTCATTTTGTTTCTGGGTCTGGGGTCATTGCTGCAGCTGGACTGCTCAGGGATCAACATCAGTTTCTCCTTAATCAAGCATTGTTATGTTATAATATTAATGTATCTGAAGGGAGGATTTGCACATAATTATCTTCAGATCGGGTGCGTAGGAGAGAGTCTTGAACAGACTACAGCTGAATAGAAAATGGTTCCCGCACACCATCTTACTTGCAAAATAAAAAAGATTTATTGCGAGTGCGACGTTTCTGTGTTACTCCTTCATCCAGCAATAACAATATTTGGATGATGAAGGCGTAACACCAAAACATTGCTCTCCCAATAAATACTTTCTATTTTTCAAGTAAGACGGTGTGCGGGAATCATTCTCTCTATATCATAATATTTACCAAATTCACTGTATTTTTCGGCAGT